GGTAGTCCTTGCATGGATCCCCTCCCACATCAATATCTTCGGCAATGAACAGGCTGACAAGCTAGCCAAGGAAGGGTTGGCATTAACTGATATAGAAAATTTAGAATACAGCACTCAAGAATTCACAAGCATAGCCAAAGATAAAATTAAAAATGCATGGAAAACCCGTCTAAAACAAGAGAATACTCATCGCTATCAAATTGATAGCAATCTTGTAGACAAGGTTTACACCAATCATCCATCAATCAAAATATGCAAACTCATCACGAGGCTTAAAACGATAAACGTAATAAAAGACTTCACCTTCAATCCAATTAAATGCCCATGTGGACAAATCGCGACCACGTCTCACCTGCTAATTGACTGCAATCAATTGAGCAAAGAACGTCAATCTGTAATTAAGAATCTAGCAGAGAGGGGAAACACCCTCTGTCTCAAATCACTCCTTTCTCCACAACCCGACGATAGACACTGGACATCACAACTTGTCTGGGATTTTATTGAGAACATAGGGATGACCAAATATATAAAATAATGAATGTAATCAATTAAAGAGTAGGGTGGAGCGCAAAAATGTCCTCTAGAAGGAAGCGTAAACCGCCCTACACAACTAATATAACTCCGATATATATAAAATACTGAATTTAATCAGTTAACAGTAGGGTGGAGCGCAAAAATGTCCTCTAGAAGGAAGCGTAAACCGCCCTACATAACTAATATAACTCCGATATATATAAAATAATGAATTTAATCATTTAACAGTAGGGTGGAGCGCAAAAATGTCCTCTAGAAGGAAGCGTAAACCGCCCTACACAACTAATATAACTCCGATATAATTAATAAATCAACTAATAAAACCAACTAACAGTAGGATGGAGCGCAAAAATGCCCTCTAGAAGGAAGCGTAAACCGCCTTACACAACTAATATAACTCCGATAAAATTAATAAACCAACTAAAACCAATCAATTAACAGTAGGGTGGAGCGCAAAAATGTCCTCTAGAAGGAAGCGTAAACCTCCCTACATCTATAATAAAACCATTAATCTACCAACTAATAAAACCAATTAATCAACAGTAGGATGGAGCGCAAAAATGTCCTCTAGAAGGAAGCGTAAACCTCCCTACATTTATAATAAAACCACTAATCTACCATTAACATAATTCATGAGTAATTTATTATTCTCATTATTACCATTAATATCTATTTATTATTCTTATTATTTATCTGCAATTCAGTTAACACTCTATTTTCTTTTACTCTCACTTATTATTTTTATAATTAGTTTAAAATGATTCCCCGCCCCCCCCCCCCCCCCCCACGAAGCCTTACTAGACGAAATAACCAAAAAATCACAGTAAGATCAGATACTCTCTTTTCTCTAGCTTTCTTTTTCAGGTGCTGGATTCTTCCTTCAGAGAACCAACAATAAAAGGAATGAATAACATAAATAAAGATGTAAAAACGCTACCATACCGGACAACATACCCAAATGGAAGGAAGAATGGACCAGGACTCAAACTCACCAACAAAGCCCCAAGGTAGAGTTGCACCGCCCTGCCATTCTACCGGACAGAACGACCAGACCAACCCAATCGACCCAAAATATATATATATGTACATAATATGTCTATGTCTGTGAAAATGTCCGTCTTTGTCCATGTCTGTTCCGTCAAATCGCATGTTTGTAAATGTCTACTGGCACCTGTTTCGTCCTTTGCACATGTTATCCTACTGTTGTTTATTGTCCTATGTACATATATATGAAAGCCTAACCATCCTAGTATTTCTCACTAATCACATTGTAAATTAATGCACCTTGTACACATAACACGTCATTGTCTGCGATATCACCTCGGTGGAAGCGGACGTAAAATACAACTAACACTAACTAACTAAGGTGTATCGTGCTCTAATACGATCTGTATTAGACTACGGCTCTCTGGCCTTCATGAACAGCGCGCCATTCCTCCTAACCCTTTCAGGCCCGACGGGACTCTCATGTCCCATCATAAAGTGAATACAATGTTGCAATGCATATGTGTATTATGGTCAGTATTTCATTATAAGTCAGTTTTAGGTAGGCTTAAGGTCGTGTTAAAGTAGTGCAGTCTTAGTGCAAAAAATATTGTAGAGTGGCATTTCAATGTCAAACACAAAATCACAGTAATCTTTTTGTAAGAAAATCTTTGTGCATGTTTGAAGACACAGAGAAAGTTCTAAGTAAGTAAAATGGTTGTGAATTTTTTTCATGACACTTTATTCAAATCAAAACCCTTTCATAAAGTTTATATAAAAAATGGGCAATATTTGCAATTACTGTCATATATTTTTTCAGTGGGACGTATCAGTCCCGTCAGGCAGATTGTACACCCATATTGGTCCTGGGACTCCGAAGTACCAATGCGGTTTTTTCCCAATTTATGTGACTTTTACTTTGCGAATTGATTAATATGTCTGAATTTATCCTTTTACAACATGACAAAGAGATTTTAAATAAAAACTGGTCTGTGAAATGATATATGTTTTCAGAAAATCTTGGTCGATGTGAGGTTTGTTCTAAGAAAAACATCAAATCTCGCCCTCAGAGTAAATGTGTTACGTGTAATGTATTCTTATGCTGTAATAAATCAAGAAATTGTTTTCTAGATTTTCATGGTGTGGTTGGAAATAAACTATACAATTAAATTTCAAGTTAAAATTGTTTAAGCTTTTAGTTGAATGGATTTAACTATGAATTATTGTTTCAAATTGTTGAAAAAATATAGTTTTCTTTGTTTGAATTGTCTGTTTAGTGTTGTGGATTAAAGTTATGATGAAAATACAGATTTCAAGAATAATTTAAACTTTTTCGTCTTTTTTGTATTGAAAATAATTTCCCCTTTTGCCGCCCGTCGGGACATTCAAGTCCCACCCCCACCCGCTTCAGCAAAATTTATAAAACTTAAAAATATTTTTTGGGATATCCTAACCAAACCCAAATCATCTATAAAATATCATAAAACAAGAAATATTTATAAAATTGAACCACTTGGGCCCGAAAGGGTTAAGGAAGCTTGACACCATCCAATACAAAGCTCTGTGTATTGCGACTGGCGTAGGGCAAGGGACTGGGAGAGAGGCACTACTGCAGGAAGTCGGTGAGTTGCCCCTATCCCTAAGAAGAAAAGAACTAGCGACAAGGTACTGGGTTAAGATCTCGCAACTGGGCGAAAGATCCCCAACCTTTGTCAGTCTAAAAAATACAAGATATGTGAGAGATCCTAGAAAGAAAAGCTTCGGCCAGGATATCAGGGAAACAATCAAGGAACTGCGACTGGGGGAGCTCGTGATAAATGAACACGACCCCCCCGGTGATCGCCCCTTGGACGCTCCCTATACTGCCGGTTAATCTAGATCTACTACAGAAAACCGGCAAGAAAAACAACCCCACTGCTGCACGTGCTTTCTCTCTAGAACACCTGGAAGACAACTGGCCGTCTGATGACTGGGACCATGTGTACACGGATGGCTCACGCAATCCTGAAAGGGGCACCAGCTCGTTTGGAATATACCTGCCAAACGGGCAACAGGGAATAAGCAGACTTGTATCGAAGCTAAGGGTGAAAGAGCGGCTGCGAGACTACAAACACCAAGTCATCATCTATGAGTGCGGAGAAGAATGTACCGCCAACCATGTCCTGGTAGACTGCGAGGTATACGAGGAGGAGAGAAGGGAACTAGTGAGAACAATGGAGACCAACAACATACCATTCAACACTAAGAACCTACTCTTCCCGAGACCAGATCTGAAACTGCAAATCTTCGAACAAATCCACGCCCTAATGGACACAGTTGGACTAAGTAGAATAGTGAAGTAAGAGGGGGTCACGGTTAGACGGGCCCGGCATCTAAACACTAAACTACATAGGGGATTTATACCAAACTGGCATGATAGTGGAGTAAGGGGGAGTCACGATCAGACGGACTCGGCATCTAAACACTATTCCACCAAAAACAGACACCAAACCTACAGAGTGGGATAGTGGAGTAAGGGGAGGTCACGATAAGACGGGCCTGGCACCTAAACACAAACCCCACAAAGATGACATCTACCAAACTAGCAGGATAGTGGAGTAAGGGGGAGTTATGGTCAGACGAACTTGGCACCTAAACACTATTCCGCAAATAAAACTGATACCAAACCCAGAGAGTGGGACAGTGGAGTAAGGGGAGGCCACGATAAGACGGGCCTGGCACCTAAACACTAACCCGAAACGATGACATCTACCAATCCAGAAGCAGACGAGATCATCTACCAAACGATGTTTTGTATTAAATAAAGGGAAGAACTTCCCACTAAACCAAATCCATGGCCTAAGGCCAAATGGAAAGATTGCAAAATCATATTCTAAAAAACAGGAATCAGCTTCGGCTCTCCTATGTCTTGTCTGCGATATCACTTATGTGGAAGCAGACGTTAAACGCCAAGAACGAACGAACGAACGTCCATCGTCCACAATTTCTTGTGAACGCTCTAACACCAAAAGTTATCATCCGATTGTTTTAAAATTGATATATGTTGTTTACATTAGTGAGATGAAGAAGCCTATTTAATTTCAAAAATTTCCGTTTATTACGTCTAGAGTTATGGCCCTTGTTTCACTTTGTTGAACCTTGTGAACGCTCTAATGCCAAAAGTTAACATCCGACCTTTGTGAAATTTATATGCAATATTTAAGTTAGTGAAACGAAGAAGCCTATTGAATTTCAGCAATTTCCATTTATTACATCTAGAGTTATGGCCCTTGTTTCACTTTATTGAACCTTGTGAACGCCAAAAGTTATCATCCATGTGGGCGTATAAAAAGCAATGATGTTTTAGTCTGAATTTGCCAATCACCATAAAAGCTCTTTTGCTTTGAATAATCTTGAAAGATTATATTGATTTGGTAAAAATTTTCCGCGGTAGCCTGCTTATGTTTTCCAATCCATGAATATGTATTTATGATCAAGACAGCTAAGTAAATATATCTTTAATATAATTAAATGACAAGAGAGGCATATCATTATAGCAAATAGTTTTAATTGAATTTCTCATTAGTAACTTTTTATCTGTAACAAAACAGATATATTATAATAAACACGTTTACTTCAGTATAATGACAACACATGAAATGATTCTATATAATGATAAAATGTACAATATATTCCTCACCACCTAATTCTCCCCTCACCCATCCACTCCCATCAGCCATTTTAAAACCAAAACAACCATTGTACATATAGAACATAGCATTACAAACCCTAATTTACAATAATTTCATTACAATTTGTTAACATCTACAATTAGAAGGAAAAGTTTTTATGTCTGCTTAATATTAAGATATTATCTTGATCTATTGGCCAACATTGTTTGGAGTAAATATCCATTCTCTTTACTTATTGGTTACCCCATTAACATCTAAAGACTTCCTGGGCCTGACAACAGCAATATCTCTTTAGTGACATTTATTAACTGAATAGTGGCACCAAAACTTTACTAGGGAATGACAATTACTAGTTTATAAACATGCAACCTTTCGAAGATGGTACTCTGTCTTTATCAAAACATTTTAAATGATTTTCACTGAATTTTCTATCCTACAAGTTTTGATTGTTAGGTTGATCTGGAGTTGGCCAATCACAATATGTGAATTACTCAACATGTGCTTTAAAGAAATGTCTTCAGACCAAGACGATGGAGTCACCAATCAAAAGATAAAAGAGAAGGATGTGTTTGTATAAATTTATCTAATCAAGTGTAGAAGATGAAGCAGATAAAAAAAAAACCACCTGTTTTTAAAATCGACAGCACTTGTAATTCATTTTATATTTTCTCTATACACATATCAATAAATGAAATAGATACCAACCAATATTATCTAATTACCGTTAATACACTATTCAACCATCTATCACTTATTTCAGAGCCTGTTTATCACATTGGATAAACTATATATTGATACAGAATAAAATAAAGAGCTTATTGATTTTTAGTTTTTTTGGATCTTGTTAAATAATAATGGTGTTTTTAAATTTAAAACTTAAAAGTATGGAACTAAGATGATGCTGTAAATAGAGCAAACAATTACTCTTTTTGTTTTTAAAATATATTTTCTCCCAAGAAATAGGAAGCAAAATTGTAATTAAAATACGTGTGGCCTAAACCAGAAGTTGTAAAATTAACACCTTATATGATCTGAATGTTCAGAACCACACACACAAAATCTTCCATTTTTAAAATCAATTGTAATTAAAATCAGCACTTTGGATATCTTTACCAGTTGGTATAAAATATTTTTTTGATTTGAAGTGACTTTATAAAGTGTCTTTGGGAATGTTCAAATTAGATTTGATACAGAATGTGAGTTAAATCTACAATTGTTGGTATGAATAATGTCATATCCTGAGTAGACAGGTGCTTGTATTGTCTATAATTAGGGGAGTATAGAGTATATGAAATTAATTACCTTTAACTTCTTGTTAAAAGTGATAATTAACCTTTAAGTTTATTACTAATTTTACATTACAATTGATTCTAACAGACAGAGCAACACAAATGCATATCAAACATACCACAAACAGTAAGCATCCAATGTGCAGACGATAAAGTCATCGGATATATTTATCAACATGACCATCAATAGATTGTTTTAAAACTATTTAAGCAATATCTATTGACCATGATCCAATGTCAATAGATTTACACATAATATGGCCATGTAATTACAGAATTGATCTGAAATAGAGACAGTTAATAATAATACTTGATTGTTTCCCTATCCTAAACTTTTTATATTTCAAAATTGCTGTAATTGAAGAAACTGCTACTGAAATAAAGAAAATGCTTGAGTACTTTAATTAATGTATTCACTGGGAAATATTCAAAGAAGTAGAATGTTGTTGTAGACAATGGCCTCACACTTCAATAGCACTTTACTAAAGATTAAATAACGGTTAATATATCAACATTCACAACCATTTCATTTTTATATACCCACATATACATCAGTTGATAAATATACATTATTTTCACACAAATTAATATATTTTTGCTGTGCTTATCATTATTCAAATCTTTTATAACTTTAAGCACTAATGGTTTACTTCCACTAAACTTTTAAGAATAATCGATTTAGATAATTGTTTACACTTGTGCTGCTTAAACTTTTGGGCAGAAAACTCATGAAAATTTTTTGTGTAGCAAACTGTGTTGAAATTAAATTTTGTTTCGAGAAATGTTTGGCATTTCTTTAGCAAGTTTGTTATGTATAACAAGCCAACAGTGAGGCTGATGTCCCCCGCCGAAATAGGAAAATAATTAGAGGACACATATAAAAATCAAATTGCGTATCGCTCTGCTTACCCTGAGCAGAAAATGCTCATTATCAAACTTAGTCAAGGTATTACTGTAATGAAACTATACACCAAGTTTCATCAATCTCACTTAATTAGAACTAAAGTTATCGTGTCCCAAAGCATCAACCAATCAAATTGCTTATCTCTGCTTACCCTAAGCGGAAAATGCTCATCTTCGAACTCCATCAAGGCATTGACCTAATCAACACATACACCAAGTTTGAACATTCTAGCTCAATTAGGAAGAGAGTTATCGTGCCCCAAAGTATCAACCAATCAAATTGCTTATCTCTGCTTACCCTAAGCGGAAAATGCTCATCTTCGAACTCCATCAAGGCATTGACCTAATAAACACATACACCAAGTTTGAACATTCTAGCTCAATTAAAAGTTATCGTGTCCCAAAGCATCAACCAATCAAATTGCTTATCTCTGCTTACCCTAAGCGGAAAATGCTCATCTTCGAACTCCATCAAGGCATTGACCTAATCAACACATACACCAAGTTTGAACATTCTAGCCCAATTAGGAAGAGAGTTATCGTGTCCCAAAGCATCAACCAATCAAATTGCTTATCTCTGCTTACCCTAAGCAGAAAATGCTCATCTTCGAACTCCATCAAGGCATTGACCTAATAAACACATACACCAAGTTTGAACATTCTAGCTCAATTAGGAAGAGAGTTATTGTGTCCCAAAAAGTGTGACGGACAGACAGACGGACAGACAGACGGACGGACAGACAGACGGACAGACAGACAGACGGACGAACCCATTTTAATAGTCCCCTGCTTTCTTCGAAAGGCGGGGGACAACAATTAATCTTGTATGTAATTTATAAACTAATTCACAGATAGATAAGATTTAATCAATTGTTAAAGTACCAGTAGCCTTGGGGATGTAAAAAAAAAAATACTTTTTCATACTTTGAAAAACAAATCTGTTGTATAGTTTTGGATAATAACTTTTCTGTTTACAAAATAACATTATTTGTTTTATGTCTGTTTTAGTTCTGACTTTTCTAGAAAAACAGAGTTTAAAATTCGAATTCACAGATGAGTAACTCTTATTCTTCAATCACTGACTTTAATCCATGTCATATGATTTCTAATTATCAAGATAATTTACTGGGTCTACTGGAACTTTAATCTTCAAACTAGGCAGATCTGTATCTTTTTTGCTGTAATTCTTAAATTGAATTTTTTTTTTATCCATTTACATATAGAAATATTGACATTCTTAGTTTATAGCTGCGTGTTGGTAACAGTAATAAGAGAATGTTGAAGTAGATAATCTCTGATATATACTTATTGTACATCTAATATTTCTAAAAGATTACACTGTACAATGCCATTCTTTGTGCAGTTCAGTTCCTATTTGTGTTAAATTTTTTTTACCAGTATTCCATAGCCTTCTAATATTAAAACATCCTCAATTTATAGATGCCATCTGTTTTAATCTACCTCAATTTTTCTTCATAATTAATGGCCATTTTATCATCAGATCATAAAGTTCAGCACAAAGTTGTTTTATGTTTACACAATGCTACAAGAAAGCTGATTATTTGTTGATATCCATCACAATCAATCAGTCTGGTCTTCAGCAAAATAACATTAAATTTTGAATAACACAAAATCAATCAAACGTATGACTTTTAACTCCATCTGTTACACACAGTTCAGAAGTAATAAATCACTAATTTCCATACAAACTATTAGCGAATTCCCTTGTCAGAAGAGTTTCCAAGGAGCAGAAGATGACACAATGGTTGTTTTATTTTTTCAAATTATTACATCAGGTGTTCTGTGTCTTCCACTTGCCAAACTAACAGGCAGAAGAAAAGACAAAAAGCAGTTAACTGTGTCATCAAGAAAGACAACTGAATTACACAAACAGGAAAATATGGTGGGATGTAGCGATGTTATTCTAATGTATATTTTATATACACCATGGTATATAGAAATGATAGGTTGATATTAAACTGTCTATGATTTAGAATCGTACAGTAATATGATGACGATAATGTTTTAAGTATAACAAGCTGAGTGTTTTTATATATATATTGATGACGCTATCCATACGTCATCATATCTGGTGATGTAGAAGAAGACGTAGGACTATTATTCTGTGCTTTTAAACTATCATTTACATCTCTTCGAAACACTGATAAATTCTGTGTAAACCTGAAAAAGAAAATATTCTATTTAATACAAGCATGTATCCAGATTTACAAAAATAAAAATAATGTTAAGGGCATTGTCATGTCTAAGATTTGCACTAACTTTCCAAACTATTTCTTGGTGATACCTTAGTACCTTTCTCCTTTTTCCCCTAAAAACATAAAATCGTCAACAGAAAGAAACATTCACTTCGTCAGATAGGTCAGGACAGTCCAGTGATTCTCAACAAGTGTGCCGCGAGAACTTCCTAAGTGTGCTGCAGAATTTTGAACGGCACACTAAGAAAATGCGAAAAAACACATGATCCCCATTGAGTATTCACTGGTGTCTACTGATAAGTTCATAGCTGTGGTGTTTTTCTTTATTCAGTTAGAGTCATTGTATGTGTATATGACTAGTCTCTGTCTACGGTTGTATGCCGTCTGACTAAACATGTTTTAATATTGCAAAATTCAAAATTTTTTCATATATATTTAGCCAGGTGTGCCGCTATTTTTTCATGTGTTCCAAGGTGTGCCGTTGGCAAAAAACGGTTGAGAACCAGTGGGATAGTCCGTCAAAGGAAGGGTATCCCTAACCTCGATTATCTTAAAATAGTATTCGAAGTTACAGTCACGTGACTTTTCAGGAAAGACAAAACAGCTACGAAAGCTGACAGCTCAGCTTTCTTTGTTTCTTTTTCTGTAGCCTCGTTTTGGTCATTTCCAGTACACAGCAACTAGACTAGAGGGAATTCCTTTGATCTCGAATAACCAGTCTTTTTTTGACAGCTGCCGATACCCAAAAAATGGTTTGATTCGTTTTCTTTGTTTTGTGGGACGAAGATCTCATATTATTTTTCACAAAATACACAAACAGAGTTACTAATTCATGATATATTATCCAAATATCTACAAATCACATTACTTATCACACAAATAAGTCACAATTCAAACCAAGGAAAAGGATGAAAAAATCCAAGTTCTACTCAACCGATTTTAACAAACGTGGTGGCAGATTGAAGATTACCTTCCGAAGAACATTTCTACAGGACAAATTGTGATTAAATGAAATAGATTTTATTTCAGGCCAGATTAAATAAACTATGAAAATTTTTCATTTTCAGGAATTTTGGCATTATTTATTATTGGCACCATGATAAAAACACTTTCGTTATTTTATAGAAGACTAGCTTACCTGAAAAGAAATGAAATGGGGTTTAACGTCCTACTGTTCTGCTCTGACTGGGCTAATGAAGTCAGGCATTCGTCATTGTGCTGTGAGGGAAATTTTGCTGGGGCAGCGGCATTATGACCTACTCTTATATACTCTTCAAAAAAAGTAGGGGATATTCAGAAACAATACAAAACTTTGGAAATGCACTGCTGTTTTTATTAGAGGTAACCAGTGTATGCTAATAACAGGCCAATTGCCTGCACATGAACATAAACAGTTCATATGGGCCGCTTATCTGATGGCCCCATTTCACTGGCAAAGAGATACACTGTCAAAAGTGAAAATAGACGTTTTTGATATTTGTCTTGATAATGAGTAATTGCTCCACCAATCCTCAAGACATTCAGCAATTCGTCGTGGCATGCTCCTAATCAACCGGCCAATCATGATTTAGGGCAATCTGACCCACTCCTCTTGCAGTGCCACGGCCAATTCTTGCAGTGTTGTCGGTTGACGCCGATGGACATGTCTCCTGATCATGTCCCAGACATGCTCTATAGTGGAAAGGTCAGGACTCATGGCTGGCCAAGGCATAGGACAATATGGTGACGCTGGAGGTAGTCATACACGACACGAGCACAGGCATTATCATCTTCACGCTGAGCAAAGGGCAGAACAATCGGTGCCAGGATGTGGTGACGGTAGTACACACCAGTGACCTTTCCTTGAACAAATTGCAAGTCTGTTCTGCCAGTCATGGTGATTCCTCCCCACATCATAACAGACCCACGCCCCAATTTGTCATGCTGCCTGACGTTAATATTAGCATGACGCTCATTTACACACCTCCAAACGCGAGCATACCTATCAGTGAAATCCAGAGTAAATCTGGACTCATCTGAGAACATTTCACTCACCCATCGAAGATTACCCAAATTTCTACGCTGCCTACACCATTGATGCCTGTTTGCCATGTGCTGGCGAGTTAATGGAGGCACAACATGTGGTCGCCGCACATGCAACTGGGCTGCAAGTAGCCGATTTCTAATCGTTTGGGGTGTAACACGAATTCCTGTAACTTGGTACAAGTTTACAGAAAGCTGATTGGCCGTTTGTACTCGATTTCGCAGGACCTGTGTACGAATGTATCGATCCTGGGCTTGTGTAGTGGCTCTAGGACGACCTGAACGAGGTCTATCATCAACATTGTGTGTTTGTTGGTACCAGTTCCACAGTCTGCTGATCACAGACTGTGACACATTAAGCATGTTGGCTACTACTCGCTGTGTAGAACCCATACGAAGCATGCCAATAGCACGTAGACGTTCATCATGTTGAAGACGTCTCATTGCAAATTAAACGTAACACACTAAAGCAAAGATACGTTAAACAGTAAATCTTATGCAAGAACCGATAGGAAAGCAAACATGGATAGGATAAACCAGCATGCAGCAGTTTTCATCAACCCTTCCTTGAAGTGGCAAATTTGACAATGAACCCCTGCAAACATGTATGGCGCTATTGCGTGTCACACATGCAGCTCAGTGATAAGTTCTTCATCTGTAAACATACTCTCAAAGCATGTCAAGTGTCCATGACTATTTATCATATCACAACCGACATAGGTATTTGCATCTGAATATCCCCTACTTTTTTTGAAGAGTATATTGAATGCCAACTGCCAGAGGATATTTTAGGTGCACGCCAATGTATACACAGGTCCTCGTTTTTTTGTCCAATCCGAACGACTAGACAACTGTCCTTGTCAGGCCCTCCGTCCTGCACCACTGATAAGGGGAAACCACCCTGGAAAATCCCGATGAACTGACTAGCTTACCTATTTGCATGCCAAAAATCATTTAATTCGGATGACGCAAAGCTGAAAATTTTGTAAATTTATGACAAAAATTGACCATTTTTAAGCTGATTTCAAAATGTAATATTTTTAAAACAACAAGAGATATGTGTCCAAACTATGGCTTGGATGGCAGCTTTAGATGTCTAATTAAAGATCATACCAAATTATGTAGAACAGAGTTTGATAAATAATATAAAATTAATTGCGAAGTTAACATAGGTCAGACATGGCAACACCCTTAAACATATCTTTCATAAAAAGTAAGAATCATTTTTTTAGGATTTTTTTCCCCAGCTCATGTGAATCCAAAGTTCTCCTACCAGCCTTTCTTAAGATATATTGTTTTAAATAGTGAAGAAGCAAGCTCTCTATAATTTAACTTTTGTTTAAGATTAAGGGAATATTATCCAATAAAACTCAATCCAGTCTCTGATCAACGTCTGAGAGAATTTGAATCCCTTGAAAACCATAATATTGTGAAAGTTGTATTTCTTCAAGGAATATCAGTCTAAAAATGGTTCAATTAAGATCAGTATTTACAAAGGTATTAACAACTAAAAATTGTCAACATTTTCAGCATCCACTGCAGACGATATATAGTACAATATTGTAAAATGTATATTATAAGACCTGCTTATCTCTATTTTGTAGTTATTGTATAATGTATATTATATGACTTACTTATCTCTATTTTTTGTGAGTAATGATCTTTCTATTCCTTCCATGAGATTCTCAAAACACTGAGCCATGGTTTGATGTTTTTCGGCCGGCTGACTTGCTATAATAGTTCCTCTAACTTTGTTGAAATGCTGTAATAAAATTTTACATGAAATGTTTTATATACTCTTGAAAAAAAAAGTAGGGGATATTCAGAAACAATACAAAACTGCGTAATGCACTCCTGTTTTTATAAGAGGTAACCAGCGTATGTTAATAACAGGCCAATTGCCTACACATGAACATAAACAAAGAGATACACTGTCAAAAGTAAAAATCAACGTTTTTGATTTTCGGCTCAATAATGAGTAATTGTTCCACCAATCCTCAGCCATTCAGCAATTCATCGTGGCATGCTCCTAATCAACTGGCCAATCACGATTTAGGGCAATCTGACCCACTCCTCTTGCAGTGCCACGGCCAATTCATGCAGTGTTGTCGGTTGATGTTGACGTCGACGAACATGTCTCCCGATCATGTCCCAGACATGCTTTATAGGGGAAAGGTCAGGACTCTTGGCTGGCCAAGGCATAATGGACAATATGGTGACGCTGGAGATAGTGAATTCAAGACATGAGCTCGGTGTGCACGGGCATTATCATCTTGAAAGATGAAACGTCGACCTGCACGTTGAGCAAAGGGCAGTACTATCGGTGCCCAGATGTGGTCACATTAGTACACACCAGTGACCCTACCTTGAACAATATGCAAGTCCGTTCTGCCAGTCATAGTGATTCATCCCCACACCATAACAAACCCACGCCCGAATCTGTCATGCTGTCTGACGTTAATGTTAGCATGACGCTCATTTACACGCCTCCAAACGCGAGCACGCCTACCGGTGAAATCCAGAGTAAATCTGGACTCATCTGAGAACATAACATGCGCCCATCGACAATTACCCCAATTTCTACGCTACCACCATTGATGCCTGTTTGCCATGTGCTGGAGAGTTAATGGAGGCACGTAGACGTTCATCATGTTGAAGACGTCTCATTGCAAATTAAACGTAACACACTAAAACAAAGATATGCTAAACAGTAAATCTTATACAAGAACCGATAGGAAAGCAAACATGGATAGGATAAACCAGCACGCAGCAGTTTTCATCAACCCTTCCCTGAAGTGTCAAATTTGACAATGAACCCCTCCCACGTGTATGGCGGTATTGCGTGTCGCATGTGCAGCTCAATGGTTCTGTTGGGGCGATAAGTTCTTCATCTCTGAACATACTCTCAAAGCATGTCAAGTGTCCATGACTATTTATCATATCACAACCTGCATAGGTATTTACATTTCAATATCCCCTACTTTTTTTGAAGAGTATAATACAAAATTTAAATCAGAATTATATTTCCACTACTAATGAATGCTTGCTGTTAAACATTTCCATAATTTCATTTCAATGTCGTCATTAAATGCTCTAGTATACGATGGGTAGTGGCATAGAGCAAGTAAATCTAAAAGGGTGGGAAAGTTGATATTGTTCATAATATACTAGATTAAATAACCAAGTTCTTTTACTGTGACATTGTGGGTCTAGATGAGGTCATTTACAATTTTCAATGTAAACAAATAAGCAAATAAATATAATCTTCGAAAACAGAAATGCACAGCCCATTTTTCACCATTTTTTTATTTGAACGAAGTCGTTGTTTCCATAAATCTTACTTTTTCTTAATGTCATTATGTAAGGATAAAAGAAATTCATTACTGGTTTTAAAGGTAGGGTCACTAATTGTGGTTGGTCATACTTTTTGCCGAAATTTGTTTTCGTTTGATTGCACCAAGACACATGAGTTTAACAACTTTGCGAGCTTTCCGCATGGAACCTAAATCTGCGGCCTTCAAAATTGTGGGGTTCTCTGTTTCCAAATCAGTTGAACATGTAAACACTCAACAAACCTAGACCAATGCAACAACGCTATTGGTAGGTTACAAGCAGGTGAATGCTAGACAGATGTAGCCAGGCTGCTGAATGTTTCACCGAGTACCATTTCTTGCCTTTGGGATAGGTACTGACAGCGAAGTTCAACACGTGACCGCTCAAGCGCAGGCCAAACAAGAGTTACCCCCACCTGCCCTGGATCGTCACTTCCGGTTACGTCATTTGCGGAAATGGTTCCCAACAGCAACCTTTACTGCATTAGTAATTCCTGAATTGGCATAGAATCTCAGACCAGACAGTCCATAAACGCCTACGTGAAACCAGATTACGAGCCAGATGTCCCGTTAGAGCTGCTGTTTTGAAATACACCGACACTGTGAAATCCGACATTAATGGGTTAAGACACTGAGGGTATGGCCACAGCAACACTGGGGAAGAGTTTGGATCAGCGACGTGTCACAGTTCCTGTTGCAATGAGGTGATGGTAGAGCGAGGGGTATACCAACGACGAAGTGTCACATTGCATTTCTATTTTTGAAGAGTATATAATATCTCACCTCTTCATTTAATAATATAAGTCCTAATAATGGTCTAGACATGGACCATTGATTACGACAATCTTCAAACATAATAATATTTAGCACTGTAGATAACATCTGAAGAAGAAAACACAGTTACAATATTTAAACCAACAATTAATTTCATTAATAGTAGTAGATGGGAACCTCCAACACAATTGCAACTCAATCTCAAATTTTTTAGAAGTTTTTTTTTTAACAGATAATAACTAAATGGAAGATTATAATATGCTACACTACCTAAATCTATTATATCTTGGCAAACCAAAAGAATCTGTGTAGACTATGATTCTCTAGTCAATATCGACACATCACTATGTAATAAGAATTATGTCCTGAATATTTCTCATTCAATTACTAAATGCCATTGAAAGAATTTTTGTAGTATGTTGTTGGTTTGCCAAGATATGGTATTAGTGTGTTTTATACAGAACACAATAGTTGCAATGCACAGAACATCATGCTGGATCTCTCTAATTTTATTATCACTTTACATTTAAACAGAATTAATTCTACTTACTTGTTGTAATATATCAGGATTTAATTCTAATATTCTAAGGAATGCGTCGCTGTCATTTAAACCACTTCCATTTAATTTTTTCTTTTTAGTGGTTAAACGACGGAACAAATAGGTAATAATATTATCTAAAGTAGCACAGCATCCTGTACATACCATAGTATCTAGATAAAATAACCAAATACTTTTAACAACATTGAAAAATATGACTATATTACACTACAAATAACTTATAGAAATGGTTATCTGGACACTTTAGCAGGAGACTGACCATTTGTATTGTTTTACAGATATAGGAATCAGGAACAGGACTAAGATGAATGTCTCTGTCTTGTAATTCATTCTGTGAATCCAACATACAGGGCTCTATAAAAGTTGAGTGTGCCTGCAGGGTCATACTGAAACACAGGGATGTAGCCAGGATTTGGTGAGTGGTGTTAAAATATTTTTCGGAGGGGGCATGGTCTTTTATGAAAATTAAACCCTTCTTGGTGTATTTTCAGAGCATCTGCTGCCTTTTGTATTTGGTTCAGTGCAAATCAAATTTCCATTTATATATTCAAATTTTACCAAATTCACTTAATTTTCATCAATGATACAGGGATCTAAAATCTTTTTGACACCACTCGACCGAGCATAAAATTGTCCCACCCCACTCTGTTTCTCTGGATAGATAAGTTGAGGACCTTTCGGTATTTGTTGTTTTGTTGGGGTTTTTTTCAAATATTACTTTATTACTTTGAGATTAAAAATTATTAAAACGGTGTTTGTGTTTTATTTGAGTACAACGAATTATGACAACAGGTAGATATTGATAATTAAAACACGTTGTATTATTTGACTTGTTTGTAAAGTTGTTGTACGTGTCTCACGAATATTATTATTATTACGGTGGAATAAGAATCGGGTCAGGCAGAAACTGAGAAAGCTCTCATCGTCCTCCTAGTCCTACTCTCGGGCCGTAGCAAATCCACGGTCAACACAGGTAAGAAATAAAATAAGATCATCTTGAAAATTTGCAGGCACGTGTTGGACAATTACGACATTCAAACCTTTAACATTGGAGTGCCGTAAATTGGTCTGGGTGACCTATTTACGGCAAATAAACAAATATAAAGACCGTAGAATAATTGTAAAATGAATAGACCTAGGCCTACACATCTTCTAAGTATAAATAAACAAAATACCAATACATCTTTCTTTAAACTAATTTGGGATGATAGGGTCTACTACGGCACACAAAAATAAATTATGCCGTGACAGACATGGTTTGCGTAGGCCTACGTCGGCTTTTACCATGGCTTTGCCGTTTAATTGTCGTGGTAAATTTCGAGCGCCGAGTTTGTGTACAGAGAAGGACGAAGGGGTTTAAATACGACTGGGCCTTTTTCGATTTTTTATTGTGCTGGGAGGCAAAAAATAGTGCCGGGCGCAGGCGCCGCCCGGCGTGGCTACATCTTTAAAAATATGCCTGCCAACATAACTAAACAAATATAAGTATTACAGTATTCACAGATATAGGAAAAGGGCTTGAATAAATGTCTCTAGTAATTCAGTTTTTGATAAAACAATAACTGAACATAATAAAAAAAAACATACCTAAAGCAGTGAGACCTTCAGATATAGTAGATAAAATATAGAGGAAAACTTGAGGCTCTAAGTTGCTGATAAATGACATATGATCCTGAGCTAAACATTCTAATAAACCATAATAATTCTGACTTAATTTAGGATAATCCTGTAAAATAATTTGTTAGAAAACAATATGAATAGAGAAATCAATTTCATAGAATAATGAAATGGAAAGCTAGATCTTGACAGTACAGCTGCATCTTCAGTCAGGGCTTCCACTTCAAAATTTTCACTGCCGGTCATTTTTGATAACGCACGAAAACTTTGCAAAGTAAATTCATATTTCATGTTTTTTATTCATGGCAGGGTATTGTGAATTCACGTGTCTATACCACTTTGTCAGCATGTGGTACACAAAAAATTATATACTGGACTTGACATTTTTGCAACACGTGGAATTATCAATATTTGTACACAATAGCACTGGAATACATAATTTTCTTAATTTTTCAGTAAGCAAGTTAACTAATCTCTAGATTTTATTTGTACAATTCCCACAAGGCCGTAATACCGCTATAAAAAAAAATTATAATGCATTTTTCTCCCAACACGTACATCGTTGAGGATTTACGTAATAGAGACAGTATCTGATTATGAAAAGCTGGCTTGTACAAAATAAGACAGCACAATTATTAATAAAAAATTGAGAAATCAATTTAAATGAACATAACTGAATTGGTCAGTTTGAATAATTTTTGGGCTAAATATTTTTTAACAAAAGTATATTTGATTGTGTATGATCTTAAACTCTATATTTAACCTTTATTATGGCACTATGGGGCTCTTTTAATTATTTTTTTAAGTTGTAATTTTCATCAGTTTAGTAGGCTATATTTTTTTGTGTTTTTTTTTTTTTTTAGCTTATTTGTTTACTCACCAATAAATCATTCTGTGATATCGATAACAATAACTTGACAAACATGCTTAAAGCATTATCTAATGCATCATCACCATACAGACGAAATACACCAAAATTAACATAATTACCACATAGAGCTGCCTTTAACATAGAGAAACATATCGATATCCCTTTTAATGTTATATCTGTTAAGGATAATAGATATTTTATAAAGGAAAACAACAGACAAAACAGACTGTTATGATCAGTATTATTATCATTTATACTCATTTATTTATACTTAAAAAAAACATTTATTTGAGATAAAGTCAATATATATTTTTTCAAAATAACACTAAAAGGATATCTTAATGGGTAGATTTGATCTTTTTGTACATTTTCACTCAACGTCAACCCCCGGGATCCTAAAAAAAAAAAAAAATCATCAGATTTGGATCTTTCATATTTTAAATATTTTATCAATTATTCTATTGTATATTTATACCAGCGGCTGCCTGGCAGGATACGCCCACATTCTGCAAGAGATGGATAGAGAACCAGCTAAACAAATAATGATTTTACGTACAATCAAGAGCCATAATTCAGGATCTTTGGGTTATAAACATGCATTTCAAGTTATAAAGATATATTTCAAGTTTCATCAAAATCGGATCAAAATTGTGACTTCTAGAGAGTCCACAACCTTGATATATCATATATTTATGAACGACTGGTGGATATTTTGTCTGGCAGTTTTGGTCCGATTTTCAGAAAATTCGAACTCAGCCGTCATTAGGGTATAACGGTGAAATATTCAAACCTTTTTTTTTTTTCAATCAGATAAAAATTGTGACCTTTAGAGGGACCACAAGGTAAAAACGCAATTTTTCGTACAATCAAGGGCCATAATTCAGAAAGTTACGATCAGATATGTGCGAATATCAAAAGGAACCAATATCTTTGGGTTATAAACATGCATTTCAAGCAGGGCTCTATAAAAGTTGAGTGTGCCTGCACACACACTTGAAAATGTGCCTGCAGGGTCATACTGAAACACCCGGATGTAGCCAGGATTTGGTGAGTGGTGTAAAAATATATTGGGCGAGCGGAGCGAGTGCCAAAAAATTTTGGGAGGGGGGCGTGGTCTTTTATGAAAATTAAACCCTTCTTGGTGTATTTTCAGAGCATCTGCTGCCTTTTGTATTTGGTTCAGTGCAAATCAAATTTCCATTTATATATTCAAATTTTACCAAATTCACATAATTTTCATCAATGATACAGGGATCTAAAAACTTTTTGACACCACCCGACCGAGCATAACGATTCTTAAAACGGTGTTTGTGTTTCATTTGAGTACAACGAATTATGACAACAGGTAGATATTGATAATTAAAACACGTTGTATTATTTGACTTGTTTGTTTGTTGTACGTGATTATTACGGTGGAATGAGAATCAGGTCAGGCAGAAACTGAGAAAGCTCTCATCGTCCTCCTAGTCCTACTCTCGGGCCGTAGCAAATCCACTGTCAACACAGGTAAGAAATAAAATAAGAAACATCGTGAAAATTTGCAGGCACATGTTGGACAATTACGACATTCAAACCTTTAACATTGGAGTGCCGTAAATTGGTGTTGGTGACCTATTTACGGCAAATAAACAAAAATAAAGTCAGTAGAATAATTGGAGGGTCTAGAGCACAAGTGATCTAACTACCAACCATTTTAGTTGGTTGTTAGATCACTTGTGCTCTAGACCCTCCAATTGTAAAATGAATCGACCTAGGACTACACATCTTCTAAGTATAAATAAACAAAATACCAATACACCTTTCTTTAAACTAATTTGGGATGATAGGGTCTACTACGGCACACAAAAATAAATTATGCCGTGACAGACATGGTTTGCGTACGACAGCTTTTACCATGGCTTTGCCGTTTAATTGCCATGGTAAATTTCGAGCGCCGAGTTTGTGTACAGAGAAGGACGAAGGTGTTTAAATACGACTGGGCGGCTTTCTTCGATTTTTTCTTTGTGCTGGGCGGCAAAAAATCCGATCAAAATTGTGGGCTCTAAGAGTGTCCACTACCTCGATATACCATATATACACTATTTGTGTACGAGGGGTGGCCATTTTGTCAGGCAGTTTTGGGCCGATTTTCACGAAATTCGAAATAAGCCGTCATTAGGGTTTAACAGTGAAATATTCAAACATTTTTTTTAAATTGGATAAAAATTGTGACCTCTAGAGGGACCACAAGCTAAAAACGCGATTTTTAGAACAAACAGGGGTCATAATTCAGGAAGTTACCATCTGATATGTGCAAATATAGAAAGGAACTAAGATCATTGGGTTATAAACATGCATTTCAAGTTTCATCAAAATCAGATGAAAATTGTGACCTCTAGAGTGTCCACAAGCTAAAAACATGATTTTTCGTACCATCAGGGGCCATAATCCATAAAGTTATGATCCAATATATGCCAATATCGAAAGAAACCAAGATCTTTGGGAGTTAGACCTATAATGTAAGTTTTGTTAAAATTGAATAAAAATTGAGACCTTTTAGAGTGTCCACAAACAAATTGTGGATGTCGGACGGACGTGGGCGTATAAAAAAATAAAACCAAACAATACTTTTTTCACCAACAATTTTGTGTGTGGTAGTTACTATAAATATAATCTACAACTTACCATACATAACAATCATTTTACTAACTTCACGGAATAATAACACTCCATTAGGTGATGATACATCAAACTGTAATCTCTGAGATCTAACAATAAACCATTTAATAACAAATACTTTTTAAAATTATATTATTACTAAAAATTTTAAATAAAAACTTTCCAAGTAATAGATTACAATGATTAGACAATATTTCTTCTTCAAATGCGACATACAGATGAATTTGTTCATATGGTAGGTTTCAAAGTATTTCATCTGTGTTATCAGCTAATATTCTACTTTCCATCATATGTCGGGTTCTTTTCAAGAGTTAGTTTCCATGCGCCCAAGTTAATCTCAGACTGACACTAGCTTATAACTATTTTTCTACTCTGGGCTTCTTAATTCAACAATCTTACATAAATTGGCAGTTGAAATTTGATGAAGAGTAGGTGGAAATGTGCCGGTCCAAATTTCAACTGCTGTATGCCTGTCTTTAATATTAGCCTGCTGTTGCAGTAGAGGGTCATTCCATGTCAAATCACCCAATGGGTTTAACCCCACCTCCTTGGATTTTCATGGAATTTTATGTACATGTTTATGTGGGGTGGCAAAGCTGAATTCCCCCTTTTTTTACGAAATCGGATGAACGGTTTCATTGCTATGGGCGACCGAAATTTGCGAAAACAAACAATCCTTCTAATCTTTAAAGGCATATCTCGGCTACTAATGGCCTGATCACAATGAAATTGGTACCAATAAACAGGGAATTGTCCAGGGATTCCAAAAATGGTATATATGATATATTTAAGTTTGATGACTTTTTGACCTGACCTTTAACCTTTCATCTGACCTTCTTGCCCTACGATGCCAGAGGTCAAGGTCATCTAGAATCGAAGCTCGACATCATGCCCTTCATATATGAAAAAATTGGAGATGTAAAAAATTTTGTTTTTGCACATGTTGAATAAGCATATATACCAATTGCTATTTTAAAGTGTTTTACATTAGATAAATTCAAATGATGACATTGAAGATAAAAATTTCAAATTTGGATTTTTTTTTAAGTCATGATTGGATATGGTTTAACTTCAGAGACAAGAAAGCTTTAGTTGTCACTTAAACATGCATTATGCAAGAGCTAAATCTGCCTATTGCAGGTCTTTCTTTGGGCCTGAAATGTTATCTAAATTATTGATTAGACATTAATTAACACATACAGACCATAATCAACTCTTGATGCCATCGTTAGCCTGCATAATGAATACATTATCCTTCATCGTACCAACCTTAGTAATGAGGACCTAGGCAAACCGTAAATTGAATCACTAATATCTCAGTTCAGAGTGAAGTAATTTGACTGATATTTTCAGCATATTCTGTTTTCATTATCTATTTGTTAACTATAAAAGTGAGAACTGTCAGCCTTTTATCTAATCTTGCATAATGTATCTTTAAATATTTTCAAACAGAAATGATTTTAATTGAATATGTCATAATCTGTTGCTACAGATATCTGATTCTGCTATTTAAACATACATTATGCAAGAGCTAAATCTGCCTATTGCAGGTCTTTCTTTAGGCCTGAAATGTATTCTAAATTACTTATTAGATAACTTATCCAGGCCATAATCAACTCTCAATGGCATCAGATTTCTCCAATATTAAATAGATTAGAACAGTTCAGCCATAATTTGATTTAAGTTAATAAAAGATAGGTGGCCAGGCAACAAAACGTACGCCCACAGCAGCTAAATCGTCCGAGCGGTCGTCGAGGGTTGTTGCATATTTATTCCTTTGTAGGTAATTGGGGGCCTTTACAAGACAATTCCATACAGATGAGATTATAAATTTTGTCGTTTGAGGGTTTACAAGGTTCTACAAACTGAAACAGGCTTTTTCGTTTTACTAATTTAAATAATGAATATAAATTTCATACAGATCACATTTGTCATTCAAACGTTCACAATCGCCATAACTCTAGAAATTATTGACGGAAATTGCTGAAATTCAATAGACCTGTTTCACAAATTTAAATGATGCATATGAATTTCATACATAACGGATGATAACTATCATCAATTGAGCATTAACAAGGTTTAACAAAGTGAAACAAGAGCAATAACTCTAGAAGTAATTATTGTAAATTGCTGAAATTCAATAGGTTTCTTCGTTTCAGTAACCTAAAAAATGCATATAAATTTCAGAAAGATCGGATGATAACTTTTGATGTTAAAGCGTTCACAAGGATCAATAAAGTGAAACAAGGGCCATAACTCTAGACGTAATAAACGGGAATTGCTGAAATTCAATAGGCTTCTCTGTTTCACTAATCTAAATAATGCATATAAATTTCAAAAAGATCGGATGATAATTTTTGACGTGAGAGCGTTCTCAAGGATCAATAAAGTGAAACAAGGGTCATAACTCTAGACGTAATAAACGGAAATTGCCGAAATTCAATAGGCTTCTTCGATTCAGTAATCTAAATAATGCACATAAATTTCAGAAAGATCGGATGATAACTTTTGACGTTAGAGCGTTCACAAGGATCAATAAAGTGAAACAAGGGCCATAACTCTAGACGTAATAAACAGAAATAGCAACGAAACCGTTCATCCGATTTCGTTAAAATTTGAAAAATCAGCTTTGCCACCCCACATAAACATGTACATAAAATTTCATGAAAATCCAAGGAGGTGGGGTTAAAATTTAAAATTTTATAATGAACAATATCACTACAAATATAAATCATCAAAACTTGTTTGAATTTTACAAATTTTGAAATTCAAAAGGTCTCTTCTATATACTCTAATGAACAAGTTAATCCCATGAAAATTTCAGAAATTCTATCAAAAACTTTGTCCTGTATTGCACCCACAAGTTTTTACAAGTGTCTTGTGGTAACAAAAAGTTAATGCTAGTAACATCAATCTTTATTAAATATACATTATGTAAGATTTAGATAAAGAGCTAGCTATTCTTGCTATAATAGTTCAAAAAAAGATAATGTAAAATGAATATATTGAAAATTTCATACAAATCACTCTATTGCGAGCAAAGATATTAGCCTTAAGTTGAAGGTTTGACAAGATGTGTGCATTAATTGTAAACACTGTGTACTGGTTGCTCGGAGCTAAGCCTCACTTCTCCATTTATAAATTAAATCAAAATATGGCTGAACCGTTCTAATCTACTTAATATCAGAGGTATCCGATGGCATCGAGAGTTGATTATGAAATTGTCATATTAATACAAGTCTAATTAATAGTTTATATAACATTTCAGGCCTAAAGAAAGATCTGCAATAAGCAGATTTAGCTCTTGCATAATGTATGTTTGCACTTGCATAATGTATGTTTAAGTAAAAAAATGAATTAAAGAGTTATGTACCTATTTTGGGCGAGTTCAGCCATAAGTTTAAGGACGGGTGTAGTAACAGTAGGGTCATGGTACCATAATTCTATCGCTCTTTGTAATACCGGTATATAGTTAGGATATCTGATATATAGTCAGGAAAAAAACTAAACGAACATATGTGCTGTAGTAGCCCCATGGTAATCTGATCTCATATTATATGAAAAATTTGAGTTTCTAAACCAATATTTTTTTATACGGAATAACTTCAAATGTCTGTAAATTTCTGATAATCCAACCTGTACCATAGCAGTTTGTACCCTGGAAGTACCGTAATGTGTTTCATTCCATCAAAATGATTTACACATTCCCTTACATAAAGCCAGATTCTGTCGCACAGTAGGCCTACAAATACCTATATAATACAGTATATAAAAGGATACATCCATTCAAATAACATCATGTAACTGGTTTTAGTGTTGAAAGCAAAAGCTATACCCCGTAGATCTCTTGCTAAACCTATTAACGATCGCTGTAAGGTAAAATATTATCATTAGAACTAATAGAAGTTTCAAATAAAGCATGATATTAAAACAGGCCCATCAATTGTAATAAGTTGTGTAATAAAATACTATTGTATTAATAAGTTGTATAAAAAAGTATTATTGTATTAATAAGTTGTATAATAAATTACTATTGTATTAATAAGTTGTATAATAAATACTATTGTAATTGTATTAATAAGTTGTATAATAAAGTATTATTGTATTAATAAGTTATATAATAAAATACTATTGTATTGAATAATATCAAGTTGTATAATAAAATATACTATTGTATAAATAAGTTATATAATAAAATACTATTGTATAAATAAGAAAGTAGAAAGAGTATAACTGACCTTAGCTTCTTCTAAACTAGAAGGATTACCAGCATTAGCTAATAGATTACCTACAGCTTCAAACGCAGCTGAAATATAAAAATTTTTAAAAGATTTTCCACTCAATGTTAAAAGTGTTGGCTACAATGAAGTAGCTGATTAACTGCTGTCAGGTTTGATAACAATTATGGACGATTGTTTTCACTGACCTCAGTTCGTGTGCAGATTAATTGAAAAAAAACAATTTATCCTCTTAGTCTCAAGGGAAAGCATGTCACCTGAACCCAGGCCTTCACGTGAAAGTCAAAAAAAGCTCTCCCGAAATTAGAACAAGCAGTTGCCATGCAAGATACACCCACATTTTGCAAGAGATGGACAGAGAACGAGCTAAAAAAATAATGTGATTTTTTGTACAATCAGGGGCCATTATCCTGGAAGATACGCTCCTATATGCGCGAATATTGAAAGGAACCGAGATCTTTGGTTAAGAACATACATATCAAGTTTCATCAAAATGGATCAAAATTGTGACCTCTAGAGGATCCACAACCTTGATATACCAGATGTTTACACTATTTGCATACGAGGGGTGGCCATTATGTCAGGCAGTTTTGGTCCGATTTTGACGAAATTCGAACTAAGCTGTCATTAGGGTGTAACGGTGAAGTATTCAAATGTTTTTTTTCAATCGGATAATAATTGTGACCTCTAGAGGGACCACAAGCTAAAAACACGATTTTTCATACAGTCAAGGACCATAATTCAGGAAGTTACGATCCGAAATGCTCAAATATTGAAAGCAACCATGATATTTGGATTATAAACATGTATTTCAAGTTTCATCAAAATCGGATCAAAATTGTGAGCTCTAGAGGGTCCACAACCTTGATATACCATATTTTTACACTGTTTGTATACGAGGGACGGTCATTTTGTCCGGCAGTTTTGGTCCAATTTTCACGAAATTCAAACTCAACCGTCATTAAGGTATAACAGTGATATATTCAAACGTTTTTTAAATCGGAATAAAATTGTGACCTCCATAGGATCCACAAGCTAAAAAATACGATTTTCCGTACAATCAGGGGCCATAATTCAGGAATATCGAAAGGAACCTTACATTTCAAATTTCAACAAAATCAGATAAAAATTGTGACATCTATAGGGTCCACAAGCTAAAAACGTGATTTTTCGTACAATTAGGGGTCATAATCCATGAAGTTACAGTCCGATATATACCAATATCGAAAGGAACCGAAATCTTAGGGAGATAAATCTATATTTCAAGTTTCGTTGAAATCGGAAGATAGGTTGCCAGGCAACGAAACATGCGCCCACAGCAGCCATATCGTCCGGGCAGTCAACAAGAGTTGTCACATATTTTTACTTTTTTTGGTAATGAAACATTTATAATACATTAAAATCTGATTAAGAGTAACAACTCATTAAGTAATTAAGTTCTGCCCCATGCTAATGTTTAGTATACATCATGACTGTTCAAGTCATAAAGATTCTTGAAAATCAATATACTTGTTCGTCTCAAGATCTTAAACACTGTGTATAAATTTAAAAGCAATCGGAAATTAACTTTAGCCTCTAGAATGTTCACAAGATTTTTCAAAGTGATCAAGGGCCAGAACTCTGGCAAAAGTTATCGGAAATCGCTGAAAATCACTAGGCTTCTTCGTCTCATGGTCTTCAAGACTGTATATAAATTTAAAGTCAATCGGATATTAACTTTATTCTCTAGAGCGTCCACAAGAATTTTCAAAGTGATCAAGGGCCATAACTCTGGTAAAAATTATCAGAAATCGCTGAAAATCAATAGGATTCTTCGACACATGACCATAACCACTGCGTATCAAGCCAATCGGATATTAACTTTGACCTCTAGAGCGTCCACAAGATTTTTTGAAGTGATCAAGGGCCATAACTCTGGCAGTAATTATCGAAAATCGTTGAAAATCAATAGGCTTCTTTGTCTCATGACCTTAAACACTGTGTATAAATTTAAAGTTAATTGAATATTAACTTTGACCTCTAGAGTGTCCACAAGATTTTTTGAAGTGATCAAGGGCCATAACTCCGACAGTAATTATCAAAAATTGCTGAAAATCAATAGGCTTTTTCATCTCATGACCCTAAACACTGTGTATAAATTTAAAGTCAATCGGATATTAACTTTAGCCTATAGAGCGTCCACAAGCAATTGTGGACGCCGGACTGCCGGACGGACGGACGGGGGCGACAACAATATACGACCATATTTCAATGTGGGGGTATAATACAAATTGTGACCTGTAGAGTGTCCACATACAATTGTGGACGGACGGACAGACAGACGGACTGGGGTGACGACAATATATGTCCACATGAAAATGTGGGCGTATAAAAAAGGGTAAATCTCTCTCCTGACAAAAAGCTCTCCTTTTAAGGAGGAGAGCTTTTTTTAGCATTTGTGATAAGAATGGGGATTTTAATCCATTTTGAAACCAACCGGCCAGAACTGGGTCAAATGAGGTCCCGGTAGGAAATAGGGTAATTAGAAGCTCCCGTTAACTTTAATATTTACCAGACTTCAACAAAAATAATTTTTGGTAATTTGTTATTCTGAATAGGCTAACATATGGCTTGAAGTTCAAGTCAGTAATATTCCTGAACAAATTACTGTCTTTGTTTTTTCAATGGATAAACGGATATCATCAGTCGATCAGAAAACGCAGTAGCCAAAATAAGCTGATACTACACTATGGCATTTCTTCACATTTAAAATACAAATTATTGTTTTTGTCTATCACGTAACTTACAAAGTTTTTATTCATTCGTAGATGATAGACAAGTGGCACAATGATCACGTGACAATCATAATTAAAATTGCTTTATATAAAATAAAATTCTGTACGACTATGTCATAGCCTTAAATAATAAGGACAATATTTTTAAAAATAACTTCCTGTCAGCATGTGTATAAAATAAAAAAGAATAAAACTAAAATACTATTTAAAACTAAATCTAGCAATGCTGGCTTATTGACCTAATTCCAACTGATGCATGTCACATGTTATCGGGAATCGGAAAGCATTGGAGATCCTGACGGGATTAATGTCTGTTATATCAGGGATTATTCAATGACTTTAAATTTAACTAACAACTGGTCAGTGAAACCATAAAATGTATGATCCAATCATTATTTTATTATCTACCTGAAATTCATACGGATCGAGGGGTCGAAGAAGGTGCGAATCGCGAGATTCACAATCCATGCTGAGCGACAGGTCTTCATTCGTCACGTGGCTTATTTTTACAAAGGACCTGTTATGAATAACCAACAAACTTGTTTCGTTTTTTTTTACCTAATTATCAAAATTACCGTTAAATGTGCTAATTACTCAGATTATGAACCGGATGGCCGATTCTCACTAAGGTATGACTGTTATTGTAGCTGACAAGCAAGTTCATTGTCGATATTGACAGTATTTTTCGTTACCGGTATATTTTTTCTGATTATTTTCTTTGAGGGGAGTCAATTTAGACATTGAGGTGGGCGATAAAAAGCACACCTTGCCTGACATCCACGTGAAGGCCTGTGAACCGAACCCCTAGTAGCATTCACTAGCTGCGCTCAGTCATTCCCCAGTCACTACAACCACTCGTCTCTGCCTCTCTTAAAATAATGAAAATGGTTTCCATTTCCAACTTAAACCTGCTATGTACCCTTACATCCCTGTACTAAATTCCTTTAAAAGGAGAAAACTTTACAAAATCTTGCATATTATTGATGTTGGCCCAATCCACCATTTTAGGAAAAAATAAAATATAGTTTACGGTACCTGTTAATGGGGACATAAATTGATAAAATTTCTCTTCATCTTCACCTAAATCAACTAATAATAATCGACCTAATGCTGTATAAAATGTTGTTCTACATCTCATATCAGCTATAGGTGTTGTACCACTATTAATACCCAGGAATGGAAAATGTTCACTCTGAAATCCGGAAAATCTTATTTCAAAAAATAAATAATGACAGCCCTATAGTTTATAACTCAGAATTCAAATAAAATTTACATAAAAAATATCAAAAGAAAAATGTAAACTTTTCTACACATGAATGAGAAGAAGAATTTATTATAACTGAAGCTTGAATTTAGTAAATCTAAAATGCTTATGAAAGCCCAGGTTGCAATAAATTCAAATATTTTCTTCAACAGGACACATGCCCAAGCCTTGAAATAAATAGTGTTCTCTTTTATAATTTACCGTAATATTACTCATATCTCACAAAAGCATTTTAAAGATGCATTACGTAAAAGCTAAATTGCAGGTCTTTATCTTGGCTTCACATGTTATATAAACTAGTATTTGTAGTATTTGGACATTAATTCACATGACAAGTCTATATTCAACTCTCTAGACCATCGGATGGTGGAGATTTAAACAGATTAAAACAAAGTCACTGTTTAATGATTTAATTTAAAAATGGTGAAGGGAGGCCAAGTCTCGAATAACAAGTATTGTTGTTACGATAATAAACAATTTATGCCACATCATGTCAAAATTTGAAAATCTATTTTTGAACTATTCTCTACTGAAGAGAGAGAGAGAGAGAGAAAGAGAGAGAGAGAGAGAGAGAGAGTATTCATTTTGCATTATCTATTTTTGAACTATTCTCTACTGAAGAGAGAGAGAAAGAGAGAGAGAGATTAACCGCCACTCAACACAAACTAGGTCATTTCCGGACTAACACATTGTTCAATTTTTTATTTCAATAATTCACTTGCACGTAGGGGTATTTAGCAGTGGCACCTGGAGAAAACCCATAAGGTTGGACAGTATTATAGAAAGAGCGTCCAGTCCTCTAATCTAAATCTTACATAATGCATCTACAAAATACTTCCTGCAATTACTTACAATTAAGACACTATTTGCAATTTTAAATTGTGAAGAATGAACAAAGATATAATACTGACTTACCGTGTGGTTATTTAACATAAATTGCACAGCATCTAGTTTGACTAGTTTACGAACACTACTATAACCTACAGATAGATCACTCAGTAGTTGTAATGTTTTTGATATAATTTGTTCTGATCTACCCCAGTATTTTAAATTAGTTATACTGAAAAAGAAAAAGATAGGTTGCCAGGCAATGAAACATACGTCCACAGCAGCTAAATCGTCCGAGCGGTCGACAAGGATTGTCGCATATTTATTGCTTTGTAGGTAATTGGGGGCCTTTACAAGACAGTTTCATACAGATCAGATTATAAATTTTGTTGTTTGAGGGTTCACAAAGTTCTACAAACTGAAACAAGGGTCTAAACTCTGAAAGTAATCTACAGAAATTGTTGAAATTTGACAGGCTTTTTCGTTTTACTAATTTAAATAATGCATATAAATTTCATACAGATCAGATGATCATTTTTGTCATTAAAACGTTCACAAGGTTGACAATCACCATAACTCTAGAAATTATTGACGGAAATTGCTGAAATTCAATAGACCTCTGTTTCACAAATTTAAATGATGCATATAAATTTCATACATATCGGATGATAACTTTCATCAATCGAGCATTAACAAGTTGAACAAAGTGAAATAAGGGCCATAACTCTAGAAGTAATTGAAATTCAATAGAATTCTTCGTTTCACTAATTTAAATCATGCATATAAATTTCACAAAGATCGGGTGAAACAAGGGCCATAACTCTAGACATAATAACGGAAATTGCTGAAATTCAATAAGCTTCTTCATCTCACATCAGACGGACGGACCGACTGACAGGGGCGACCAATATACATTCCCATACAAGGTTTTCATACAACCGCTTACGAGTTATTATCTAACGTAGAAATCTTATATTTTGTCATGATATGAGTAATTACATCATTAAGTTACTATATTGTACTTACATTTTGCCTATAAAGACACTAAGAACCATTGATTCATCACTTAAACCTAAAACATCTGATAATCTTCTATATACCTACAAATAAACAATACACAATATTATAATAAGTAGAAAGCTATGTAAATTATTACACAAAGTCTCTCTTAACAATCCCACTAACTTCTAGTAAAGTCATCTGGTAAAGCCTATAAATATGATTGTTAAGTCAAGTCTGCTGATAACCTTTCTGTGATTCAATTATTTACATACATTAACATTCAATTACAGCAAATGATATCTTCCATGATCTATCACTATAACTATACAATGATTACAACACAGGTGGACTATCAACTTGCAGACACTATCGTATTTTGATTGTCAAGAATCGTTTTCTCAGTGTGAATTCAAATTTAACACATTTTTACTTTTCAAATTTTTACCTTTGAGGTTTTCTGTACTTGGTCACCTACATATATTTTACGAAATTGTTCAAAAAAACTTAATATTGCTTGATCTAATTTTTCACAGCCTCCTTGTGCTAATCTAGAATCTGTTAAATTCATTAACTGTAATACTCTGAAATACAAGATGAAAATGATAATAAATAGTAACAAATATATAATCACAGTAATATGCCCCTGGGTGTACAATAGAACATCTTTATTTTGAATTAAATTCATTGCGGTATTATTTCTTACAAGCATTTTAAATTGTTGTATACTATATATGTCAAGTAATTTTAGTTAATTGCAAAACATTACCAGCGGTTGTCAGGCAAGATACATCCACATTTTGCAAGAGATGGATAGAGAACAAGCTAAAAACAACAGCGATTTTTTTGTACAATCAGGGGCCATAATCCAGAAAGTTATGATCTGAAATGCGCAAATTTGGAAAGGGATATAAAGATATATTTTAAGTTTCATTAAAATCAGATAAAAATTGTGACCTCTAGAGGGTCCACAACCTTCGTATTACATATTTTTACACAATTTGCACGAAGAGCAGCCATTTTGTCAGGCAGTTTCGTTTCGATTTTCACGAAATTTGAATTTATCCTTATGGTGGAATGGTGATCTATTTAAACGTTTTTTCAAATCGGATAAAAATTGTGACCTCTAGAGAATCCACAAGATAAAAAACATGATTTTTCGTACAATCAAGGGCCATAACCCATGAAGTTACAGTCTGATATGCACAAATATTGAAATTGGATAAAAATTGTGACTTCTACTAGAAGTTCTAGAGAGTCCACAACCTTGGAATTACATACTTTTACACTAAATAATATTCAAACATTTTTTTTAAATCGGATAAAAATTGTGACCTCTAGAGAGACCACAAGCTAGAAACGCGATTTTTCGTACAATCAAGGGTCATATTTCAGGAAGTTACGTTCCGATATGTGCGAATATCGAAAGGAACCAATATCTTTGGGATATAAAAATGCATTCCAAGTTTCATCAAAATCAAGATCTTTGGGTTATAAACAAGCATTTCAAGTTTCATCAAAATCCATTCAAAATTGTGACCTCTAATCCACAAGCTAAAAACATGATTTTTCGTACAATCAGGGGCCATAATCCATGAAGTTATGGTCCGATACATGCCAATATCGAAAGGAACCGAGATCTTTGGGAGATAGACCAATATCTTTGTCAAAATCATATAAAAATTGTGACCTATAGAGTGTCCACAAACAAATTGTGGGTGGACAGGGGCGCCTACAATATACGTCCACATGAAAATGTGGGCGTATAAAAATATCTGTTTAAAATCGAAGAGGGACGCAAATTTCACATTTTCATGTGGACGTATAAAAATATCTGTTTAAAATCGAAGAGGGACGCAAATTTCACTATTTCACCTACCTACAAACTAATTCACCATCCATAGCATCATGTTCATCTGTACTCGCAAATGATACACGACCTCCAATCACAGCCCCAATAATATACACTAGCCATGTTAATCTACCTACAATTCAAATTATTAACTCTTTACTCCTAGATATTTGTTCAATTCAAATAAATATCAGTGTTTCATTAAATGATTTTACTTAAAGTCCACTACCAACAAGGTGATATACATTTATTACAGTAATAATTTGACAATTAGTGATTTAACAACTTTAATTTTGTATGTACAAAGGATAGCCACACATCCAGACAAGAGGGCCCTGTTTCACAAAAACTTAAATCTCCTTAAAATCATCTTAAAACTAAAATTCCATCCTAACTTAAGACACTCAAAACCCTTGTTACTATTTTATATATTCCCATATGATTCAAGTATAAATTATACTATACTACTAGACATGCCACAGGCAAAGTATTTACTCATATGGTTTTGGAGTTATGATGATTTGAAAAAAGATAAACCAATAATCTCAAATGTGTTTATTGAAAAATGTTACATGTCTATTTGAAATTAAATTTTATATTATGAATTTATTATTATTTCTTAATGAAGGCTTTCGATAATAACACTGCATTAGTTTTGGGAGTCAAAGATATTTTATTTAGGGAAAAAATCATTTTACTTGAGTAAGATAAATAGGCATTATCCAATAAGGAGTGTGGCACTTTGGTCATTTCAAGGTATTTTTAAAACAATATAGGATGACATTTCAAATCTAGGCATCGGAACATTGCCTATTTGGTGGATTAGTTTCAAAGTTGTTAAATACTTTTAAAATTTGACAACAATTTACAGTGTAGATTAGTCATTTGAGTCACAAATATCATGATACGTTTGTGACAATTCTCAATAGTTTCTCTTATCCAAAATACCATAAAACTACGAAATTCAAGCGACTTAATATAGTTTATCGATACACATTATTTACATTGAAGTCTGCGAGTAAATCAAATGCCAAGGTCACGAATCAAATGCCAAGTTTAGGGCCAACCCATTGATACACTTCGAAATGAATAATACGCAATAAATAAACTCATTTATTTCACCTCTCTACGACTGTCTGACCATGTGCAAACATTGCTACAACGTATGAAACTCTCCCCATTGATATTGTAACTGTTAGTTCAACCTGTCAACAGTTTTCAGTTTCAAAGCGTATTTGCTTACACCCTAAGCGCCTGCACCGGAAAAATCTATAAAAATTGCATTTAAGTTACAATCAATCTTCGTGAAACTCATAAAATTAAAATTTCATTTTGATTTTAGTTAAAATCTGTTTTAGTGATTTTACCTTAAGTTTTTTGTGAAACAGGGCCCAGCTTATCAGAAAAGAAAACTTGGATTCACATTATTTCTCAATAGTATAAATTTATTGAATGCATCAATTTCTGATTTATTATTTAACACACGGATATTTTGCCTGCATTAATTTCTTGTTTAGTGCATTAATTTTTTGATTAACGCAATAATTTCTTGATAACTTTTAATTTCCTGTGTAATAGTAATCATAATTCGATCTTCAACATATTCACTACTGTACTCCAAGAATGATATTTTGCTCACCTTCTCTAACAGCTATTTCTACAGATTGCCCACCTGATGCTACTAGTTCTTGATATAAAGCTGCTGATTCATCAAATAATGTAACTAATACAGAACATGTTTTATCATATTCACATCTACCTATAGTTGATAACTATAATAACAAACAAAATAAATATTTAATTATGAGACAAACACTGCTGGTCTTGAAGATACATTGTCCCGAAAGTATCTATTGGGTGGTTATTTCCAATAAAAGTATGGCAAATTTAGTATATATGGAAAGTAAAGACACTCTATCTTACTAGAAAAATACTGGATTACCCGAAAAACACCCATGGGGTAAGCACTGAGCAAAAATGTCAGGGTATCACTACCTGGCAACCTGACTGTTGTCTGCCAGCTTATTGTGTGCTAGCTTGAATGAGGGAGCAGTTGTTATTTCTTGATCAAATGGTTAGGGGGTTTTGTGAACATTGAGGGGTGTCAACGTACAAAAGATTCTTCAATTAAACAGCAGAAAAAGAAGTTGACATATATAATTAACCAGCGGCTGCCAGGCAGGATACGCTCACATTTTGCAAGAGATGGATAGAGAACAAGCTAAACAAAAAGCGATTTTTCGTACAATCAAGGGCCATAATTCAGGAAGATACGATCCGATATGCACAAATATAGACAGAAACCAAAATCTTTGGGTTATAAAGATTTATTTCAAGTTTGATCAAAATCGGATCAAAATTGTGACTTCTAGAGGGTCCACAACCTTGATATACCATATATTTGTCTGGCAGTTTTGGTTGAATTTTACGAAATTCGAACTCAACCATCATTAGAGTTTAAGGGTGATATACTAAAACGTTTTAAATCAAATAAAAATTGTGATCGCTATAGGGTCCACAAGCTAAAAACGTGATTTTTCATACAATCAGGGGCCATAATTCAGGAAGTTACAGTCTGATATGCGCGAATATCGAAATGAACCGAGATCTTAATAATGATGATGTTTCATAGTAAAAGGTGACTTTGTTCTTCGAGGGGTCACAATCAGATGATGGTTTCTGAAATGGGGTATCAACCAACAAATGAAATGGACTAAAGATATAGAATAAAGTAAAAGTTAACACCATACCTGTTCTAGTTGTTGTGATATCATACCATGGTCATCTAATGGGTCCTCTAATCCTTCTCTACAAATAAAATAAATATCAATCATTCTATTTGAATTCCTTATAACAAAATCATGGAATCAATGTCATCACATTCAAATTATTGTTGACTTTTTATCATGCAATTATCTTTGTTTTTAAGAATAATATCACATCCAATACAATGTTTACTTAAAGTAGCAATATCGTTATTATTTCAGTCCTTGTATGTAGTAAAAATATCTTGCTGCTTAATGTAAAAATATTTCACAAATACAGAAAATGTAAAATGAATTATCTTAATTAGATAGCAACAATAATGGTTATTGTTCATAGTAAGTGAATAAAGTACTCAAGAGTCTAGCATTTAATCATTAATTGGGCCTATAGTATGTTAGAATTTCTAAACCAATATGTTATTTTACAATTAAAATGCAAATACAGACTCTTTGTCTACCTACACACACATTAAAAAGTAGTCTCACCAAAGAGCACATTCATCCATATATCATAAAAATCAATCTAAACATAAGTCATAACTATCTAACATTCACATTACTATTGATTTCATGACATTATTGCGGGGTTGGACGGCCAAATGGTTAGCACGTGCACGCTGCGCTGTATCACACGGTCTGTCATTGAGTCAACCGGCAGGGTTTTTATTCCCCGTTGTACGAGACAAGGAGTAGGGTCGCATGTCCAACCTCATGGATTTTCTCCGGGTCCTCCAACTGCTAAAGACCCCCTACGAGCAAGCGAATTATTGATATAAAATTGAACCATGTGTTAGTCCCGATATGACCTAGTTTGTGTCGAGTGGACCTTAAACCCTATTTCTCTCTCTTTCTCTTATGACATTATCGTTTCATATTTTATTACAGCAAGGTCTGGGCAGTATCACATGTACTAAAGTATGTTAATAAGTCACATCATGTTAGTCAATAATAACATAATTTTATTACAGCAAGGTCCAAGCACTATCACATATATCTACTAAAGTAGGTATGTCTAATGATGTTAATAAATCATATCATGTAAATAAGTCACATTATGTAAATAAGGTTATGATAACAATTTAGTATTTTACCTGATAACAACATGAACAGAAGCTAAACGTGAACTAATATAAGCTTTAGTAACTTCAGGTGTGTACGTCTCTAATAAATGTGGTTCAGATGCTTTAACATATGGTACAGATGCTACCATTCTCTGCCATAAACTTAACAAATAGTGTACACTGTTAGGAGCAAATTGCCACATCTGAAAAATATTAACATATATCTATGGAATTGATCTTAACATGTGATAGTGGGTGGAGGGGGGGGAGGGTTCTAACATAATTGGTTTACATACAGGAGTTTTTAGTGAGAAGAAATCAAAGAAACCAGAGAAAACAAACAAGGTAAGACAGGCGACTGTACTACTTGTCAAGTACAAACCCAAACCCTGGATCAAAACTTGGACTTGCATAGCTAACAGGCATTATGATCCACATAATTAGATCGCTTGGCCACAGAAAACACCCAATAGGCAAACAATCTCTGATACAATGTAAAACCCCAATATGGGAATCCTGAAGGGTAAGCCAATATTGACCAACCAAACATAAGGCTACTTCTCAGTTCAAGCCCATTGAAAATTTAGCACTATTTTCATATTTCTCAGATACCATTGTTTTACAATATTATGTTGGAAAATTTAAGAATTTAAGAAACGGAAAAATATTGTTATCTAAAGTAATGAATTTAATTTAATACTGATAAGAGTACCAAGTAATATACCTGTAAACTTGTAACAGTAAATTCAGCTATTAATTTAATAACATCTGGATAATTATCCACTTTAACTAATTCACCTAACTGATAATTAGACTTTAATCTAGCAAGAAGACGACAAAATTCATGGTAATTAGCTGGATCTGCTAAACCCTGCAAAATATAATATATCACATTTATATTAATGAGTAAAAATATATCACATTTAAATTATAAAGTCAAAATATAATATCAAAATACAGTAAACCTCGCATAAGTATAAGTCGGATCTTCACTCAACTCGGATAAAATCGTTTGGACCCATTGATCCTGCACGATTTTCTTATTAAATTTCTGCCCGTAAGTCGGATTTTCTAAGTTGGATCTTTGCTCAACTCGGATCAAAATGTTCAGTCCATTTGATCTAATTCCGGCTTTTTTCCTTCCACAAGTCCCGGCAGTATGTTCACAACATGCCGTTAAAAATCCGTCCCCCTCCGCCAAAGGGACTGGCATACGCCACTGAAATCCAAATACAGGGCAGTGCACAAATTTGCACAACTCGGCCATAGAAGACGAAACGAAATTGGAATTTTTGAAAAAATTTGATTGTAATTAGGCTAGGCAAAGCAATAATTGACTAAAGTTTCTCAGCTTTTCAACGATTCTAATTTTTCCCCACCCAAGCTTACCTAAATTTCGCCGAGCCATGTAAATCTGTATGCCACCCCACATCTAGACCTCAATGGCATCCGCAAAAGCCGTTTAGCAGAAGGGGATGCATTTTTAACAGCATGTTGTGTTGCACATACTGACTCTAGCGAGGTAAGCAAGGCCTTATTTTCTCACTAAAATGTTCCTTTACATTGTTCAGGCGTTCATAGAGACTGACACACGACCGTTTAGCAGTAAAAAGTTGCCCAGTAAAACTGACTGGAAACCTGAACGTACAGGGCGATGATGAGACCTACGTTCAGAGCTGAACTAAGTCTTGGGCTAACTCGGATCTTCGCGTAACTCGGATAAAATTGGTAAGGCCATTTAGATCCGACTTATGCGAAGTTTACTGTATACCACATTTAAATCACTGAGCCAAATATAACACATTTAAATCATTGAGCCAAATATATCACTGAGCCAAATATATCACATTTAAAGTAGCTAGGTCTCTAACTCAATATCATCCAAAGTTTGCGACATTGAAAACACGAATTAATTTAAATCAACATTGATGTTCTGATCTTACCGGGAAAATATGGGCTTCTGATATCCAATATTTAAGACAAAATAAACATTTAACCATTGGTACACGAATCGTGTACAATAATGTGTTTCAGCGCAATTTGTAACAAGGGACTCGAAGAATGAGGCTAGACATATTCCATAAGTCATGTTAACCGGTGACACCATATTCTTATCTGGAGAGCATGTGCAATAAATACTATCAGTGTAGACTGGAATAACCAGATGCTAGAGATTGCCATTCGATTGAGATTTCTGGCGTATTTCGCCGAACATAACTGATTTGAAATTAGAGTAAAAGCAGAAACGATTGAATGTAAATCAGTTTATATATGCATTCGACTCATTTGAGTAAATTTCTAGGTCCCAAATATTAGTGATTTAGCTCCTTTAAATCACTAAGCCAAACATATTGAGTCAAAATATATCTAGTACTTTAGTCACACAACTAAAAATTTAGCAAATCCAATTCATAAATGTCTAAATTGAGTAAATTCCTACCTGTGGATTTTCCAGAATACCTCGAACTCCAGTTACAAGATTATTGAGAAATTTGGCACGCTCAGCATTATTAAACAGCGATCGCCTGACAGAAGCTATTTGGACAAGACATGATAAAGCCTAGAACAAAATAAATTAAAATAATATCAGAGAGAAACACTTGAATAGAAATCAGCAACATTTGTATCTAATTGACAAACTTCATTACTGAATAAACCCAAGCAGAATTTACAAACATCATTATCGGATAAACCCAAACAGAATTTACAAACATCATGATAGAATAAACCCAAGCAGATTTTACAAACATCATTTAAATAAAGTCTCAACAGGTTCGGCAGGACGATTTACACAATACTACCCAATACCACCCAAATATCACCACATACTACCCAATACTACAACATAATGGTGCAAAATTACCATATTGCTTGATTTTTTCAAAAATAGTGAGATATATCGTGGAAAATGTTCTTCAAATGTGATACGATGTCTGGCTTTTCCATTTGCCTCCCTGTATCACCCAAATCAAGCAAATAATAACCCAATACTACCAAATACTTATCAAATACTACCCAATATTATAAAATACAAACCTAATATCGTCAATTAGCAGCACATCAGTATAATAATTGCAACGAATATTCGATAATTGGAAGAAAATTGAAATATTTACGCAGTTATCTCCCTTTACAACCGATAAATAGATTTTAGATTGTTATTCAGATTAATCATCTTGTTTGGCTTTGCAGTTTGTTTCCTAGACGACGAAGTTAAAATAAGGAAAACAAGTTATTATAGATGCCCCCGCTTTAGTTTATTCATACAATATTACACGTTAAAAGCATATCAATACATAACATAAAAAAAAGAGTTTTAAAAGAAATTAACAAAGATATAAAAATGCATTAAAATAAAATCAGTTTATAAAATAAATATTACACATTAAAAGCATATCAATATATAACATAACATAAAATAAAAAGAGTTTTAAAAGAAATTAACAAAGATTTAAAAATGCATTAGAATAAAATCAGTTTATGAAATAAACAGCCAAACATCCAAATAAAAGAGAATTTTAGAGGTTGATTTAAAATGTTCATTTAACGGTCTCTTGGCCTACTAGTCTGCCGGATAAAGACAGATTTATGTGTTTTCCAGGAAAAAAGTCTCATCAGAAAGATGGATAAAACCTTTGTCATGTTACTGTCGTCCCCCTGAATCACTTGAACAGCCAACATGATGGGTCATTTTTTTCTGGAGTACCTACAGACCCCACCTTTTATTTGAGACCAAGTTTGCTTTGATAGGACTTTTTTCCAGGAAATAATCTAAATCCACAGACTATACTCAAAAGTCTTATTATACTATATTTCTTCATACTGGCGATTTTAGTATGAGAACATGCTGTCTACAAGTGCACACGTTCCTGTAAAAAATCATTTGGGTATAATATGTTAGGAAAGCACACAAATTTATCTTTATATCTGTCTTTTATGTATTAATAACGGTTCCAAGGACAAAATTTTACTGATTCTTCGTACATTGTCACTATTGAACAAATTCTAGTTATTCTAGGGTACAGGTGTAGATATCCACAGGTGACAATGTCGCGGGGATGTCATTACCACTCCCAGAAAAGTATTTATCGGTTAGTTATTTCCAGTACAAAGTATGGCAATTTTAGTATCTAATCATGGACAAAAATGTACGGGTTTCCCTAATCGACAGCCCGACGATTAAGAGTGTCTGGACGCGTGACGTCGAAGGTTGCACGCAGAGATTGAGCGCTTGATGTACATGTTGATAAACTTTATGAAGAGTTAGACGTACAACACTTTCTGAGATAAAAATCACGCAACAATAATTTAATTAGGCTTTGATATTTGTAATAAATAGTCAGTGATAAAGGCAACATCATCTTTTGTATGCAATGAATTCTCCTCCGACATCGCACCCGTTGTGTCACGTGATACAATTACAAACGTGACCTCTTTTGATCGAGTTTATATAGCCGGGTATTCCCTGAAAATTGCAATGTTTTGAGAAGAATTTGAAGCAAAATTATGATAAATTAATTAGTTTGAATATGTTTTTAGTCCAAATATATATCATCAAATCACCCAGTTTGTACTCGGGAATGTATCTTTAAAATTAACGAATCTGTTGTAATACACCAAATTGCATATGTTTGTTATTATTTTAAACTACATATGTTTATATTTTCATGTCAACTATTGAAATTAAACTGCATATGTTTGTGATTTTTTTAAATAGAATATGTTTATATTTATATTTTCATGTCAACTATTGAAATTAACGAATCGCATATATTTATATTTATTTTAAAATTAATGTAATAGTATGTGCCTTAACAAAAGAAAAAAAAAATGCATGTGTTTATATTTATTTTTTCATGTCAACGATTAATTTATTCCATATTTACTTAATGGACGATGTTTTATTTTAAAATTAACCAAATTGCACCTGTTTATTACAATGCGCATGTTTATTACAAATGTGTAATGCTCTACTCGTATACATTCCACCTGACTTAACAATTAATCAACGGGGTTAAGATTGTGGATTGGGTAATCAATTTCTGGTTTATTTATATGATAAAAGAAACGGACAGAGCTGTAACAGACCGCAAATGATAGTTTTGATGAATTGAGAAGTATCGCGCCGAGCATTACACACTTGGAAGAAGCATGTGCAATTTCGTTGATCTTAAAATAAAACATCATGCAGTAAGTAAATATACAATAACTTAATAGTTGACATAAAAAAATGAATAAAAACATTATGCAATTTGTTTTGTTAAAGCATTAATTTTAAAATAAATACAAACAATCGACACTAACTAGGTAATTTCAGGACTAACCTATACTTCAACATTATTTCATTAACTCGCTTGCGCGAAGGAATGTTTAACAGCGGCACCCGTTTAACAGCGAGATGAAACTGTGGGACCAGAGAAAACCCACCTTGTTTGACAGATGACCCTACGCCTTGTCACTATAAAGCGGTAACAGATAGATGGGTCATTCTGGGAATAAAATATGGTATATCGTCATACTTGTTTTTCTTTTTTTAAGTTTGTCGTATTGGAAACCAAATGCAAAGCCAAAGAAGATTAATCTGAGCAGCAATCTAAAATCTATTTATCGGTTGTAAAGGGAGATAACTGGGTAAAATTTCAATTGTCTGCAAAATATCGAATATGCGTTGCAGTAATTATACTAATGTGCTGTTATTTGACAATATTAGGTTGTTATTTGATCATACTGGGTAGTATTTGGTAGTATATGATGAGTATTTGGTAATATTGGGTTATTATTGGCTTGTTTTGGGTGGTATAGGGAGGCAAATGGAACAGCCAGACATCGGTATCACATCTGAGGTACATTTCCCACGATATAGCTCTCTATTTTTGAAAAAAATCAAATGATATGTCTATTTTGCATCATCATGTTGTAGTATTGGGTAGTATGAGGTGGTATTGGGGAGTATTGGGTAAATCGTCCCACCCCAACAGGTTTGCTTTCTTCCAGTCCAATAGAAGACTTTTATACTAACAACTAAATCTGGAAGCCATATGAAGAGAAATGAGGTTTATATATTTGCATGTTAACATACCGGAGTATTTTTCACACAGGTTAATAGAGTATTGCTTATACAATATGAGGGACCAGGTAGATCCATTGTACATGACTGCTTCTAGTCTTACACGTTTTATGTGAATAATAAAGAACATAGATGCTTACCATGGGTGCCAATGATGATGGTAACCCAGCAAATAAATCAAAGAAAAGTTGTAAAGTACTGAAATCTAGAAAAGCTGAAAAAGGAGTAAAAAGGATTTGAAAATCCATTACCGGTAATACATTGCAAATCAGTATAACAATAATAAAATAAAATTAGGCTGCTCATTTTACATCTGAACACATTCATTGTGTTGCTAATGCTAGGTTCCCACTATCACGATTTGCGCTACGATTGAAGCTGTGGTTTTAACCATGGAGTAATCGTCGTGATCAAATCGGTTATTATCATATATTGTGGTCAGTCGTAGTACTACATAAAAACATACATTTCAGTACTGATAAGATAGGTTGCCAGGCAACAAAAAATATGCCCACAGCAGTTATATCATTCAAGTGGTCAACAAGGGTTGTATAATTGGGGGCATTTACAAGAAAATTCCTTACAGATCAGATTATAATTTCTGTCGTTTACAGAAATTGTTGAAATTCGACAGGGTTCTTCGTTTCATACAGATTGGCTGATAAATTAGTTGTTCGAGCGTTCACAACAATGTGAAACAAGAGCCATATCTATAAAAGTAATTAACGGAAATTGTGGAAATTCAATAGGCTTCTACGTTTCACTAATTTAAATGATGCATATCAATTCCATACAGATCAGATGATAACTTTTGTTGTTCGAGCATTCACAAGGTTCAACAAAGTGAAACAATGTCCATAACTCTAGAAGCTAGAAGTAATAAATGGAAATTGCTGAAATTCAATTGGCTTCTTTGTTTTACTAATTTAATTAATGTACATAAATTTCATACAGATCAGTTGATAACTTTTGTCGTCCATGCATTCACAAGGTTCAACAAAGTGAAACAAAGGCCATAACTCTTAGAAGTAATAAACAGAAATTGCTGAAATTCAATAGGCTTCTTTGTTTCACTAATCTAAATGAAGCATATAAATTTCATACAGATCGGGTGATAACTTTTGTCGTTCAAGCATTCACAAGGTTCAACAAAGTGAAACAAGAGCATTAACTCTAGAAGAAGTAATTAACGGAAATTATTGAAATTAAATAGGATTCTTCATTTCACTAAACAACATATATCAATTTCAAAACAATCAGATGGTAAATGTAGTCTGTAGAGTGGGCGTATAAAAATGGGTAAAAGACCTACTATCTTAACATAATTTGACCACAATGATCAAATACATGAAGTTTATTATAAAAGATTATACCTGTTCTCCAACTAGTAGGAATTTGAACTGTACAGAGATCATCTGATGATTCGTCTGTTGATGTGCCAATAAAATCAAATGTTAAAGCATTGTGAGCTAAATTTAGAGTATGTGATAACAGACCATGCTGAAAAAAACAAAATATAAATGTTAAATAGCATATCAATTCTTAATTTGTCAGTCACTTTTTATATAGAGATAATAGAGATTGAAGGTATCAAATAAGCAGTAATTTTAACTGATCTATAAATTCTTGTTTAGGGAGTCAGGTTATTCTAAAGAAAATGTTAATAAATGCTTACTTGATTATCATCTGTTAAATCTAAACTTTTTAAATTACCAGCAGCGGATCTTAGTAAAGAACAAGCTAGTTGAAATATCTCGAATAACTGGGTATCTCGGAATGATGAAGCTATTTTTCTATGTTTGGTGAGGGAGCGAGAAGCTTCTGCCTGTAACAGAAAATAAGCAGAAGTAATTAACATGTAGTTGTAAATAATAAATATTTAAAATCAGGAACTGCTATATCAATTTTAAATCAGAAGTCTCAGTTATTAGTGAATATTTTAACATAACCAAAAAGGTGTTTACCACATTTTAAAGTAAGAAGTTTAAAATACAGTGGACTCTGTCAATTCCGACATTGTATGGGATCGATACAATATGTCGGATTAGACAGCATGTCGGAATACTCAATTGCCTCAATTATACCCGAAGTATTATTGTACCTTCGAATACCGGAAGTTTTATTATAATGCACCCTCGAATACACAGAACTTAAAATATGATAACCCTTTCGGTACATTCAATTGTATAACTTTATATCAAACAATTGCATAACAAAACACAATAACATAATACATGTACATAACAATTTACTTTGAATATATATAATCATCTGAAGTCAAATAAATAGCACTTGTCATCCAAGCCTTACGATCGGCTGACCAATTGACTGACAGGTTGTGTTTGTCCACTCTGTTTGAATTCATCTTTTCGCTTTAACATGTCGGATACTGTAGTACTAGCAATTGAATACCTAACAGTTAAAAATAAACACCACAGTTCTATGGATAACAATTACTGTATTTCTATTAAAGCTACGTTTCAACAATGATTCTCTTGTCGTTATCAAGCACAATATTGATACAGACAGAAGGTACGAAATACAACCCAAACATTCAATGAAACCATTTAATTAGGACAGTGACCCTTTGATTATAATAATAATAATGAAACCATATGCAATAATATCTAATCGTAATGTATACATAGACGAAAACCAATTAATTAATAGGGGAGACGTGTTGACCCTGGATGTACATATTAATTACCTAAACAATCAAACAACACAGTGAGGCCACTTAATTGGCTCTTGTATGATTACAATATCTCGGCCATGCAACAGTATACTAATATTTATACATGTAAATTAGTGTGAAAAGTTATACTTGATTACTTACAGTATTACTTAATAAATCCAATATTATAAACTATAAAAGGTGATTACATTAATAGTTCTTACGAGCTGCATATTAAATAAACATAATTTGATGTCTTTATTAAGTGAATTACAGTTAAATAAATTTTGTAATACCTAAGTCGTACAACTGTATACAAATATCTCATGTATGCACATTAGCGTGAAAAGTTATACTCAATTGCTGAATAAAATGTCCTATTATCTATGTGATCACACTGATAGTTCTTATGTGCTACATATTGTATGTAACAATTGGTATCTTGATTAAAGTGTAGATACATAAACTAAATGCTAGAAAAAAAGTAATATTCCCTGTGGGGTAAATGGTACTGAAGATATGGGAGTAACATCTATGTTAATTTCCTGGTTTTGATCTATTTGTGATTAATTCATCATAGGCTCTGGGGATGTATATACCACTATCTCTGTTGAGTTCTGGTTGGTTTACCTCAATCTACAGCGCAACGTATATCAATAACTACCCTAACTAATGCTGTTTCTGTACCATGATTTTTTCGGTACGCAGACCGAAATTTATCCAACAGAGAATTAGAAGATAAATGTACTCGAAGTCTAAGGTTAACAGCCTTCTCAGGAAAGATTCCACTTTTTATACTAATATTTATTACTAGCAGGATACCCGGCTTCGCTCGGGGGTCATAACTTCGAAACCGGAAGTGGTAGACTAACGCCACCTGGCCTATGTTACTCCCCGGTCCGAGCTACCCTTATACCTCAAATTTCAGACTCGGGGCAGACCTAGTGTAGCCGCCAACCCTGAACAGACAGACAGACAAACGACAGTCACAAATATTATATTTATTATTGTTGTGATAACCGGAAGAAGAATATCTAAATCTTGGATAACTATGCGAGTTGGTATAGGATTGTAATACAAGTTGTGGGCTTGGAAGAAAGAATTATTTCAGAAATCTCCTTTTCAGTGAAGACTGAGAATTCAAGAAGCAGGTTTACCGCAAAAGGTAGTGGTATTATCCAGGGTGGCTGCAGAAGAGATTTGTAGATCAGACCGAATCTTAACGAAGAATTTATTAAATTAGTCAGCCAAGGTTTTAGGATTTTCAGATGCTGGTAGCTTAGTGTTGTATTTCTTGCCAATCAATGAGTGCATGAATCTGTGAAGTTTTTGCGGATCGTTACTACATTCTTCAAGTTTCAGCAAGCAATAATCAGGTTAAGCTTGACGAATGACACAGGTTGTTTTGTTTCTAGCATCGCAAAATATCTGATGATGTACGCCACTGCCTCTCTGCACACCCACGAAGTCCCTTTGCAAGGTGTACTTGTTCATTATACCATGGAGCATTTAGTCTAACAGTTACAGTTTTTGGGGTGGCTGGAGCATGCTGTTCAAGACAGTAGACATGATAGCGTGTCATTATATACACGTGTAAGATCGTTTACCTGGGAGGTGTGATCATACACCAGCTTAGAGTTAATCAGATCTGAACGAAATGAATCGACATCAATTCCTTTCAAATTTCTACACAGCACAGACTTTTTCTCGTTATCCAGTCTCGAGAGGCACAAATGAATGGTCTGATAATTGCTTGTCTGTGAATCTCATTAATTAGAGTGGAATCTTCAGGTGTTAAAATCGAGAATGTTACCAGATTTGTCCGTAGCTCCAACTACATGCTGTTTGAGTGAATGTGATTGAAGAAGAGTGATAAACTTTTTAACATCGGACTTGGTAGAATTGCTATACTTATAGTGGATATTGAAATTACCTAAAAATATAGTTTTACACTTTGTGTAGTTGGAGAAAAGCACTGAATGGTCTTTGTGAAAGTCAGCGACTGTAAACTGATTTTTCTTAGTAGGTGGGGGTCGATAAATACAGACTACAATTAATGTTAACTTTGCTAAAGCTAGCTTAAGGACCAGCTTTTCAAAGGATTGTACAGATGTGTCCGTTTCTGGAATAATTTCAGCTTTAATAGAATTTATGTATAAAACTGTAATACCACCTGCGGTAGACTGTAGTCTTGGATGGTGCAGAAAAGTGTCGGATGATAGAGTCATCTCAACTATCGTAACTTCATCTCCACTAACTTTTAACCAAGATTCTGTAATCACTAAACATCCGAATCAGCATCGATAATAAGATCCATAACTTTGGTTGTTTTATTGCGCGACAATTGAGCATTTAAAAGATCGACTTTAAGAAAATGTGAAGATTTAAAAATTCCATTGTTCTTGTCAGTTATGTCAATTAAATTGGATTAATTAACACAGTTTTACGACAATATGTCTGGTAAGACGGTGTAGAAAATTAGCATCATCTCTAATAGAATATTGTAATGATCTTTCAATATTAATTGATCTCTGGTGTAAATCTAGACCATGTCAGGTTTAACAGTATACCTAACAGTTAATTCCTTCTGTGTAGGTCGTGGAACTTTCTCAAAATTTGCTATAATCTCCTGCTTGACATCACACATTATGAACACAATATTATTATAACGATTCTTCATCTCGGCAATTTATATATAATGTCGCTATATTTGATGTGAGGAACTCAAATCATATACCAAGAGATTATAAAATTATCAAGGTAATCAAAAAAGACTGACACATGTTTTATGCTCACAGATAATTGAGTGGTGATTGCTTGTCGTTTTAACACCCACTGATTGATGGACGGATTATCCAATGTTAATTGTGTGCAAATCGTGTGACGGGACCGCTGATTGATGTCGTAATTCGGAATTTTACTCAAAACTTTTTCGGTTGAAGTAATAAGGAAATAAATCGGGACATGAAAATGATGAAGGATTTCACAGAATGCTGTAGTATTCAGATGTCGGAAGTGACAGAGTCCACTGTATTTGAAACCCATGTAATATCAAATAATATGGATTTTATATGTTTTGAGTAAAATATGAAGTTTGGGTTGTTACCATAGCAACCATGGTTATTTTTTTTTCAAAAAGCATTACCTTCCAATAATTTTGACATCAATATTGATTATTGTATTATTTTAAAATCAGTAGCTATCAGGCAACAGTTTTTTCCTTCCCTCAAGGGCTAGAAAGGGGTTCCTCAAAAGCAAATATCCCATTTTGGCCATTATTGAGCCATAAATAAAATATGAAAGAAATGAATTGAAGTGAAATTTTGTTTATAAGTCAAAAAGTTTGTGAATTTTTAAAATTACATATCTTTACTCTTGTATATTACTTAGTATTTGGTTGTATAGCAACAAAAATGAAAAACAAACCCCCAAATTGCAATTTTATACCATTTTCAATGGTGTTTACCATAATGAAACAAGTGATCAACACATTTTTAAGTAAGCATTTTAGCATCTTTACAAACAATGTACAATTTTTAGTAAAGTATTAAGAACTTTGGGTATTTGCAAAAGCAACTGCATAATTTTAAAAATAAGATAACCGCTGTTTCGCTATTGTTCTCTGCATTTATTGCTCACATGTTACGGTACAAGAAGAATTCTACTTATTTTCTACTCCGAAGATAACAACATCGACCAATAAATACAAATTATTTTTGTTGTGCATCTACATAATTCTCTAAATGTAGGCTACTAGTAGGCCAAGTCCTATGCCAAAAGGCGTGAAAAAAATGGAATTAACTATCATTATGTTCAGGCAAGTCCTTTATTCAAATAACATAAAGCTTACTTTGTAAATGAACATTTCAACTTACAAAAAATATATGGTATTTTGAAATGCCAACATTCCATCCCCAACGTATCGAAAGGTCGTTTAATTATCTTTCTAATAGTTATCAAAATGAAAAAAATATATTAATAATAAGAACCGCCACCGAGCACTTGAAGTGGGGTATCCCCTTTTCAAAATGTGCCAAACTTTTTACTGTAACGTCAAAACACTCAAAATTGACGCATTTCAACTTATGTTTATGAAAATTAATAAGAACAGGTACATAAAAATCATATCAAACAAAAAAATAAGATATCAGCTTTCAAAATCAGTTTAAAATATTAGATTAAATACAAATCGGGAAAAAAACACTTTCTTCCAATGCGAGCAGTGGAGCTGTGACGCCTATTTGAATCCAAAAGAAAGACCTGCAATAGGCAGATTTAGTTCTTACATTTTACATAATGCGTCTTTAAGAAAATTTTGCAATTATTCTCAACTTTCATTTATAATGTCTAATGAAACCTTTGACTGCTCATTTATTAAATGTTTCAGATTTTTAAGCAATCTAAACATTCTGTGTTTTAATTATAAGTATAAGAGAATTGGAATTTTACCTCACTAACTTGATTCATCTCACTAACTAACTGTGATAATAACTGAACACCTGTCATAACATGTTGTGTTGTTCCACTCTGAAATAAACCAACCATAAATATAATAATAAAACCAGCTGCTGCCAGGCAGGATATGCCCACATTTTTCAAGAGATGGATAGAGAACAAGCTAAACAAAAAGCGATTTTTTGTACTGTCAGCGGTTATAATTCAGGAAGTTATGATCTGATATGTGCAAATATCGACAGCAACCAAGATCTTTTGGTTATAAACATGCATTTCAAGTTTCATCAAAACTGGATCAAAATTGTGAGCTCTAGAGGGTTCACAAACTTGATATACCAGATGTTTACACTATTTGCGTAGACGGGCGGCCATTTTGTCTGGCAGTTTTGGTCCGATTTTCATGAAATTCGAACTCAACCAACAATATGGTATAACGGTGACATATTGGAACGTTTTTTTTAAATCAGATAATAAATGCGACCTCTTGAGGGACCACAAGCTAAAAACGTGATTTTTCGTACAATCAGGGGCCATAATTCAGGAAGTTACGATCCGATATGTGCGAATATAGAAATGAACCAAGATCTTTGGGTTATAAACATGTATTTCAAGTTTCATCAAAATCGGATCAAAATTGTGAGCTGTAGAAGGTCCACAACAGGGATGGGATTTTGTCCGTATATTCTGGACTTGTCCAACGCTATTTTCCAAACGCCCAAAATTGTCCGACCTGGAATATGCCCAATCGGACATCAAGACATGGTGAATAATATTCAAAATTTCAAAATTAATATACTGTACTGAGTGTATAACTACCACTCAACCCGATTATCGTTGATAATAGGCTGGATTGATTAGGTAATTAAGTGATCAATGTATTTATCGTGTTATACCGTCTATACACCTACCTTTATTAACTACATAATCTGCTATGATTGACTGACTTAATCCTTTGTCGGACAATTCATCAATCCAATAAGAGTGGCAGATATTTTAATCGCATTGATGTGAGCCGACAGCATCTATAAACTAGTCATAGATGTCACATATCGTAAGAGCATATAACACCCTAAATCATTGGATAGTTATTTTGTCTGCGATATCTTTTACGTCTTTTAAGAGTCAATATATATAAATTTTCATCCACAGTGGCACTTTCCTGTGATTCCTGTATAAACGAAGACACGTAATTTTGAAGGAATATTACGGTTGTGAATTTGATGCCGAAGCAGGATCGGCAAGCTTTCATTCAATGTATTACGATAATGCTTAATTTTGTAGGAATGTTACTGACATAAATTTGAATGCCGTACAGGAATTAAATATGAAAAATAGCGAGGTTCACCTATTTTTATTACGTACGGGATTTGAATATTTTGTTGACATGTGATTTTTAATTGTGGTATGAACTGAATACCGTACGGGAATTAAATATGTATTTTTATTACGTACGGGATTTGAATATTTTGTCGACATGTGATTTTTAATTGTGGTATGAATTCTTCTGCTTAAATAACGGTAGAGTTATGCCCCTTTATTTTCCGTAAAATGTCCGGCAAGAAAAATTTTGAAATCCCATCACTGGTCCACAACTTTGATATACCATATTTTTACACTGTTTGCGTTCGAGGGGCGGCCATTTTGTCCGACAGTTTTGGTCCGAATTTCACGAAATTCGAACTCAACCATCATTAAGGTAACGGTGATATATTCAAAGGTTTTTTAAATCGGAATAAAATTTTGATTTTTTGTACAATCAGGGGCCATAATTCAGGAAGTTACGGTCCGACATGCGCGAATATCGAAAGGAACCAAGATCTTTGGGTTATAAACTTGCATTTCAAATTTCAACAAAATCTGATAAAAATTGTGACTTCTAGTCTATAGGGTCCACAAGCTAAAAACGCGACTTTTCGTACAATTAGGGGCCATAATCCATGAAGTTACGATCCGATACATGCCAATATAGAAAGGAACCAAGATCTTAGGGAGATAAACCAATATTTCAAGTTTTGTTTAAATCGGATAAAAATTGTGACCTAAAGAGTGTCCACAAACAATTGTGGACGGATGGACGGTCGTCCAAACAGATGTCCAGAGGCGGCGACAATATATGTCCACATGAAAATGTTCACGTATAAAAAATATATACACAAAAAGATTATGTCACAAAGTTCAATTAACAACAGGGCTCACACTGGTTTCCAATTCGTTCCCCCCAAAAATGGATCATATTTTTTTCAAGTGGTTGCCAGGCAAGATATGCCCACATTTTGCTAGAGATGGACAGAAAACAAGCTAAAAATTAAAAAAGTGATTTTCATTACAATCAGGGACCATAATCCATGTGTCAATCTCGAAAGGAACCAAGATCTTTGGGATACAAACATATATTTTAAGTTTCATCAACATCGGATAAAAATTTCATAGGCGCCTACTTTACTAACCTGAATAAATTTGCCAACATCGTTAACAACATTGCGAAATACATATTCATCTTTATTTACATCAAACCATCCTAATTTTGTTATCCTGGCAAATAGCTGAAATATAAACATACTATATCTCAACAAAATTGTATTCAAATTAAAAAATAGGTTGCCTGGCAACGAAACATATGCCCACAGCAGATAAATTGTCTGAGCAGTCGACAGGGGTTGTCACATATTTATGAATTTGTATGTAATAGGAGCATTTACACTGATATCAATTTCATAAAATAAGAACCATAACTCTAGAAGTAATTAATGGAAATTGTTGAAATTAAATAGGCGTCTTCGTCACACTAAAATTTCAAACTGATCAGAAAATAAATGTAGTCTGTAGAGTGTTCACAAGAAATCGACGGACCGATGGACGAGTGTATAAAAAAATATTTGTAACAAAATGACACATTCATAGCGTAAAATTGAATAGAATCAGAATAACCATCTCCTGTGAAAACATTGCACAGATAACAGAATCAAATTGAGGCTGTAAATCGACAGTAAGACAGTAAAGAAATAACATAAGGATTAATAAATGGACATGCATACACAGACTTATTTCTAAAGAGTTATAAAGGATTTTAAGGGAATAACACTCAGTTGATTGCATACAGATTATAATAGATATTTACCTGCACTAAGGCCTGTGATACATAGTGTAATAGTTTGGGACGGTTAGCCAGATAATTCAATATATAATTTCCTGAAATATATATATACATGTAGTAAGCTAACTAATTATTTAAAGTATACTCAGACCAATATCCTTTGACTACCATGTTCAACCCATGTCATTGGCCTACATGTATAAAATATCTTTTAACCTTTTGATGATCCCAATCTATATAACAACAAAGCACCCAACATGTCACACTCATCTGATAAAAATATTGATTGAAAGGGGATTGATATCTTCATTTCTTGCTACTCCCAGTCAATATACATGTATGCTGTCTGTAATTTCATATATTCGCAATTGATTTTCCTTATTCCTGTCAGTTTACTTCCTGATCCTTCCATCTCGAAATCATGAATATTCACCAAAACCTGGCAGAAAATGTAAATTCAAACACCATAAGTCAACAAATAATTTTTTAGATCAGCCATATTTATAACATAATATTTATCGCATTAGTTATCCCTTTAATTCCTTAGATCATAGTCCGATCCTTAATGTAAATCCGTCGGCTTTTCGGGTAGAAATCGTGGAACCAGATTTATTTTGTAGGTTTTGATGTTTGATGACAAAAAACCAATGTTGACATTTTTTCTGAGTAGGTCTTCATAGTGTGGGACGCCATTATTTGAAAGGCAGCCATTTTGCGATAATATTTCAACTTATATTTTGTTTTCAACTTATTTATGATCTTATCGACATATCAACTGTGATTTGGCACTGTATTAGTATTGACAGGGGTCATGACTATATTTCAGATTTTTTCCATCACTTCATGAAGATATTTCCAAGATGGCTGATTTTCATTAAGTAGTAGTGTTTGGTGTCAATATATATGTTTTCGGGGTCGCAGATTCTATTCCTGAAATTTATATCCCTGTAAGATGACCACATGTTCACATACTTAGCATATTTCCAAGATGGCAGCCATTTTTGGCGGGAAAATAAGAAGATGTGTAGATTTTGATTAATTATGAAAATTCCTCATCCGAGATGACCACTGAGCTGTTATCGATTTTCCTGGGAAAGAATAGCCTATTCATTCGGTCTCCTGGCATGAAGGAAAGAGAGCGCAACGGCAGCGTTGAGGTTGCGCCAATAAACGTGGCAAGAAATTGACATGCACCCATCATTTGACATATGCAAAATAGGTGAACATGTGATCATTTTACACAGTTGTAACCGTTAGAAATGTGATCTGTGCCCCTGAAAACATATGTATTGACACCAAACACTACGACTTAATCAAAATCAGTACCCTCAAGTAATGGCCTCCCATACCACGAAGACCTACTCAGAAAAAATGTCACCATTGGTTTTTTGTCATTAAACATCAAAACCTTCAAAATAAAGCTTATTCCACGATTTCTACCCGAAAAGCCGACGGATGGGAATTATGTAACAAACCGAATCGGACTATCAGTCATATTTATAACATAAAGTTCCTTATATCACATCAGTTATACATGTATACCCTTCATTTCTTGCACTAACTAAATAATACTAACTAATGTCAATTCTCTGTTCCAGTGGCAAAGTCACATTTGGTCTGGTTACCAGTTTTGTTAAGGTTGTTGCTGCCAAAAGTTGTGCATAAGCCGACTAAAAAATAAAAATAAATCTTATTATCAATGCCATTCAATGGAGTGAGAGAGAGAGAGAGAGACTAGAGAGAGATGGGGTTTAACATCCACTTGACACAAACTAGGTCATTGCGGGACTACCATTCAATGGAATAGCAATTAGAAAACTGCATATACATGTATATTCACATTTGGAGGAAAGAGATAGAGAAATGGGGGTTTAAGGTCCACTCAACACAATGCAGAATAATGTATACAGCAGTGGAAGGAAACTGGAGAAAACCCATAATCCATATGGTTCGACTGACACCTAAGTCATATTCACATACAAGCCTGGAATCAAACCCATGACTTGACTCAATAATAAACGTATTACATTAGACCAATAGGCCACTCAACCCCCTTAGTGAAAAGCATGACAAATATAATTTGTAATATGATACAATGTCTAAATATTTTGAATGGTTAGGATAGTCACTTATGGTTACTTATTTATATATTTAATATAAAAGAGAGCAACTTACACTGCCTCTTTCCAATAAAAGTTGACATTTATTCAGGCAATCAGGAGAAATGGCAAAAGAAACCAGTGCTTTTTCTGCTTCTGAACGTATATTACTGTCAGCAGTCTCATACATCTGTTTACACAGCTCCTCAAGACGACGCAACTCCTAAAAAAAATAAACAACGATTTAGAGGGGGTGGTATCATTTCTCTTCTATTCAAGACATAGTAACAAATTTTTATCAGCAAGACATCCTTCAGTTCAACTGGAACACTTGAAATTTTGTGTAATGTATTCTATTTTAGGACTAAATATGGTAAAATTTTGTTTTAATAATTCACTTGCACTAGGGTCATTTTGGGACTAACATATGGTTTAATTTTATTTCAATAATTCGCTTGCGCGTAGGGGTCTTTAGCAGTGGGAGGAAACCAGAGTACGGACAAAACCCACAAGGTTGGACAGGCGACCCTACTCCTTGTCACGTACAACCCGGGATTCGAAACCACGCCAGTTGACTCAATGACAGATCTTATGATACAGTACGCACATGCTAACCATTCGGCCACCCAACACCCCACCCCACCCCCAACATATTCAGGGGCACTTGACAATGTGATCATAAATAAACAAGAGGATTATGGACATCTTAACAGTTGTATACAGAGTCAGTTAAAAAGCCGGGTTATATAAATGTGTTTTAAGTTGTTTTTGAAAAGAATATAGAGATGTACAACATCTTAAACTAAATGGTATATTACATGTATTCCATAACACAGGTGCTTGATAACTAAAAGAGCACTGACCATAAGTTCTAAAAGATCTGAGAGGTAAACAGGAGCTAAACTATTTAAACATTTAAAAGTAAGTAATAAAATCTTAAAATCAATTCGATATTTAACAGGTAACCAGTGTAAGTTATGTGGTCGCATTTCTTAGTTAAAGTAACAAATCTAGCTGCAGTATTCTGTACTTTTTGTAATTTATCTATAAGTTTTAAAGGTAAACCAACTAAAAATGAATTTAAAGTTATCTAATCGAGAAGTGACCAGAGAATTTACAAGTAAAGTAGTGGCCTCTACAGTTACAACAAAACATAGATTACTAATGTATGAAAGTTAATGGACTATTCTTATTTTGATTTGTTCTAAATTTTAACACTACTACTGGGGGAAATGTGAATATGCCTCATGTATTGTGGATGTTTCGTTACGAAAAGAGAGCATTGCTATAGCAATCATCTGTCTTAACAAATCTTGTCACTATTGATCACTCTATAGTGATTTAATCACATTTAATACTTAACAATATTCTAGTAATAATCTAAGTTTGAAATAATTACTATAATTTGTAAAAAATGATAATTAATAATTGGCTACTATTTTTGCTTTTCAGGGCTGCTGATATCGAAATTCGATGCACTTATTAGTTCAAATCTTGCCTTTCTAAATCACTATAGCATCCAGTGAAAATACTACTCACTAATTTAAAAAGTTGGCCTTCAGGGGACCATTGATCATTTGTGCAGTCATTGTTCTAAGGGTTTTTCATATTTAAGGAATCACATGCATCAACATATAGATATATCAACATTTTTCGTTACAATACCAATCAAATCTCATCTTTTTAGGGTGTTGTGATTATAAAACCTGATCAAATCATTGTAAATACTCCACAACAAGCTATTCATTAATCATTAATTGTGTTTATTTCAGGTAAAGTGGTTGTTGATAACATTTTATCAATTTTCATCTTCTTTGATCGTTTGTCATTATTAAAACCTAATAAATCATTGTATATACTCCATAACAAGTTATTCATTAATCAATTTGTGTTAATTTTCAGGTAAATTGGTCTTATTGAATGTTGTTATTATTAGCTTTAAACTTTATAATCCTTAATTAAATTAGATTCCCTTTAGGTACATGTAATTAAGGAGTATCTCTGGTTGGCCAGCATTAACTAAGTATCGTTGTGTACATTGTACATTTATATATTGTCTTATTTTCACATTTTATCATTGCTTGATAATGACTAGAGAAGCCTAGTCGAAACGTCGCTCAGTAATAAGCAGTAATTGTATTCCATAGAATTGTGACCTTATAAGCCTATTATTGTATATTGTTGGCTTAATCCAATATATACTGATCAAAATGATACAGGAATATGGCTACAGTGACTGTCTTGGTTATGGCATTTATAAAACAAATTATAAAAGTTAAATCACTCTTTTAAGTTATGTGAATTTATCTGGCTCATTTCATATAGAACAAAATTAATCCATATTTAATTGTTTTATTTTATTAGGGGATTGATTAAAGAATCAGTCAGTTGTTAATGAGTGAACATCCCAGCTGTATATGGTACTTACTTAGTTAACATTTCTAATATGCATTCTGCCACTGTGACGTCACTGATATTTGCAGGGATAAGAGGTGTTTTCGATAATTGGTAAAGTCATTTTTATAGGAGGTCTATAGCGACTTAAGTGAAGATGGCTCTATTAATTTTATTCAGATCTGTGTGAAATTGCCGTAAAGTTTATGTAACCACTTAAAAGTACATAAATTTTGGTTTGCCCATTTCATGTGCTCTTTAAACATTATCTTACCAGGTAGACATATATATTTGCACTTAAGCAATATTTTATGCACACTGAAGCAATATTTTTATGAAGTAAGCTTAACTTTCAATTTGTACACGAGGAGCAGTCCATTTGCTGATTACACTATTTTGCTTGAATACACTATTTTGCCTATAACGTTTTTTAGGACTTCGAATTCTGTCTTATGGTTTGGATTGTTCGTACTTGGTTTTATTTTATTTCAAAGTCAGACAGTTAACATTGTTTGATAGGGTATCCCAGTTTTTTTTTTTCGAGTGAGCTTTACTCTTGTCTCAAAGAAATTGTGACATAATGGTACATGTACATAGTATTGAGTTACATCTCCATGTAATATTTAATGCTTGAAGTAAGTATAATGCAATTTTGTTTGGAATAGACTACTTATCCTCCAAAAATGTTTAATTGCTAAATTGTCAATATTATAATTAAGACTCTACAGGACAACAAACAATTCAGTAATTTGAGCAAATCTCTACTACATTGTACTAATAAAATTAAGTACAGGGGGACCAAACCACATACAAACAATTACATAAGACAAACCTACGGACATGACGCAATACAGACACCTCAAACAAACGCAAGTGAATGGATCCAGGGTCTATCTGTAAGCGTCCACTTTCGCTGTACAGTCCCGTACAACAGTACTGCAGCTGGTAGATGAACTAATGTTCCTGGCATATTGACAGACTTCACAAAAAAAGACATTTGGAAATGATGACTGTTGGGATCGGTAGCATGTTGTCATTTCGGTCCAATGCCATTTCGGACTCAACAGAGACAACCTTTCGGACTCAGTTTGACGACGGTTTGGACTTACTTGACGACTTTTTGGACTCGGTCGGGCGACGTTTCGGACTCCGATGAATAATTAAAAGACTGTTGAAAATTTGTGTGATATATTTGTAACAGCTGGTTTTTTTTTTTCATTTTACATGTATGTGAGTCCGATAGTTGTTTTGCTTTATTTTGTTTGCTTGTTCTATTTTCTTTCATCGGCGAGTATTGAACTTGACAATAAAATATTGTTGAAAATTTGTGTATATTTAGTAATACTGCTAATGTTTTTATAATTCTGAAAGCCTAAATGTCTTTTACGCCAGTCGAAGCATCAACACATGGCCGCCTTTATCGTCGATTGACAACTCGCATTTTTCCTCGTGCACTAAAGAACTGTGAGTTTTTTTTGCGCATACTACAATAACATAGGGATTATCGGTTAATTAGCTTTAATTATCCCACTTTGATCGTTGCCATTTCTAATATTTTCCAAAAAGAGTAGGTACTGCTATCTATGGCAAGATTGTCCAGGAATGCATGTCAACCTTTAGCTTACGGATTATCGTTAAACAATTCTAGGGGCTTGTAAAAACAGTGCATGTCAAGTAAATATTTACTTTTGTTTTTTGTGTAGGTAATTTTGAAATAAATTCTACAGCATATTATTCTTTTTTTTAAAAAAAATACTTTTACGGGAAAGGATGACAATAAACCGTAATTGCAACCATGTTTTATTGTTTGGTATGCCTGAGTCTTTTAATAACCATGTGTTTCATGTTTAAATATTTTCTTTCGTGTTTTGAATTGGCCTATTTCTAATAAATTCATCAGTTACTTTTTATAGATATTACAGATAAACATTCAACAATGAAAATTTTGCGGTTCCTTGAGAAAACTACATGCTGTACTTGATTGCGATCGGTAAATTTTACCTGCATGTTATTTTTTATAAAATCGCTTTTGATTGATTTGACAGTTGTGTTCAACCTTTCCTTCCAACTTATTCATCCGAGTCCGAAACGTTACCTACCCGAGTCTGGAATGTCACCTGCCCAAGTCCGAAACGTTGAGGCCATATTTGAGTCCAAAATGTTGTAAGTCCAAAATGTTGTAAGTCTGAAATGACGCGAGACCGAAACGACATGTAATCGTTGTGATCTAGATACGTCAGTCTAGCTTCTTTTGAGCTCGCATGGCACAAGAAAATTTAACACAATGCAATGCACATACATTGGAATGACTGGCTAAAACTAAAGGCCTAATCTACAGATAGATACTTTTAATTTCACACTGAAAAATATTCCTTTTTCTATTTTTGAAGGCCAAGCAAAAAATCAAGAGATAGGAAATATAGTTTAATTTCAATTCGCAAATGGCGTAACTCAGATTGTAAATTAGTAACTGTGACTAATTAGAACAATAATTAGTTAACGTCTTTTATAGCTAAGTAAAGTAAGTGTCAAAAATTAGTCGTGAATCATTTTCAGTTTCAATGACCGTTACTAAAAGCAGCATCATATAAATGACACAGAAAATGAATTCCAAATAAAAACTAGTGCATTGGATTCTTTGAATTCTGTTTTACTATATCCAGTCAATGACAAGAGACTTTTTGTTAAATCTGTTCACGGTTTGTCCATTTTATTTTTTTGTTTTGAATGAAATCTCACCTGTTCGTCCGCCATTTTTGTTTTTCCTTTTCACGCGCGACGTCTGGGGGCGCTACAGGCTGTCAACTCCCAACTCTTGATAGGCCTATGCAACTTGAACGAAGAGAATTAGGATCTTCCACATTCAGAATCCTTTAAAAATGAACATTGCTTGTAATCATATGCATCACAAGGTCACAATAACAAATTTGATTTAACTGGCATTCTTTGCAATTTAGTTGTTTCTTTCCGATGTGGCTTGAAAATCCTGTCTACAACAACTAACATCTCGAAGGGGGTACTCGATTGAACGTTCCGGAATTGAATTCTCTCAATCCCAAAAATAGTGACAATCGAGTGAAGAGGGGTATTTTGGGCTACAACGCATGCGTCGACTGGATAAATAAGAATCCATGACCACTCGAACCAACTGTGACAGACTGAATTCTGCGTCACTCTGTTGCAGTTTTGTCAATTCGGGACGTTCTGGACTGTGAATCGAGCATCCCCGAACTTACGTTAAGGGAGGTAACACGGTTCGAAAAGATTTGAAAGGGACATTGAAAAAAAAAATATATGATGTCTTCCAAAATTCTCAAAGGACCAGTTCTTGCTCTCCAAAGACAACTTGCTTTCCATACAAGTACACAACAAAATTCAAAAGTTGCTGTGGTAATGGATAAGACGTGCCAATAATTAATTCTTTTGGCATGGTGGTCTTTTTTTATACGCCCACATATTGAAATGTGGTGGTATATTTTTGTGGTCCCCCCCCCCCGTCCGTCCGTCCGTCCTTCGGCTTCTGTCCGTACGGTTGTGGACTCTCTAGAAGTTAATATCTGATTGACTTTAAATTTAGACACAGTGTTAAATTTTATTTAGCTCATTAGACGAAGAATCCTATTGATTTTCAGCGATTTCTGATAATTACTGCCAGAGTTATGGCCCTTGATCACTTTGAAAAATCTTGTAGAGGCTCTAGAGGCTAAAGTTAATATCGGATTGACTTTAAATTTATACACAGTGTTTAAGGTCATGAGACAAAGGAGCCTATTGATTTTTAGCGATTTACGCTAATTACTGCCAGAGTTATGGCCTTTGATCACTTCAAAAAATCTTGTGGAGGCTCTAGAGGCTAAAGTTAATATCGGATTGACTTTAAATTTATACACAGTGTTTAAGGTCATGAGACAAAGGAGACTATTGATTTTCAGCGATTTACGATAATTACTGCCAGAGTTATTGCCCTTGATCACTTCAAAAATTTTGTGGATGCTCTGAGGCCAAGGTTAATATCAATTAATACACAGTGTTTAAGGTCATGAGACGAAGAATCCTATAATTGATTTTCAGTGATTTCGGATAATTACTGCCAGAGTTATGGCCCTTGATCACTTCAAAATATCTTGTGGATGTTCTAGAGGCCAAAGTTAATATCCGATTGACTTTAAATTTATACACAGTTTTTATGGTCATGAGACGAAGAAGTCTATTGATCTTCAGCAATTTCCGATAATTACTGCCAGAGTTATGGCCCTTGATCACTTCAAAATATACACAGTGTTTAAGGTCATGAGACGAAGAAGCCTATTGATTTTCAGCAATTTTCGATAATTACTGCCGGACTTTAAATTTATACACAGTGTTTGAGGTCATTAGACGAAGAATCCTATTGATTTTCAACGATTTCCTTTGCCTGTCCAACCTCATGGGTTTTCTCTCTCTCTCTCTCTCTTTCTCTCTTTCAATGATTTCCAATAATTACTGCCAAAGTTATGGCCCTTGATCACTTTGAAAAATCTTGTGACGCTCTAGAGGCTTATATATGTTATCATCCAATTGATACACAGAGTTTAAGGTCTTGAAACGAACAAATATATTGATTTTCACTAAATTTTGATAACTTGAATAGCTAAATCCATGATATTATGTATTTCGTATACTAAACGTTAGCATGGGGCAGAAATTTATAAAAACTAAACAAATTCTAATGATTTTCTGATAATTACTTAATGATAATTACTTACTCTTAATCAGATTTTAGTGTACCAGTATTATAAATGTTTCATTGCCTTATGATTTTCATTTCAACCAAATACTTAGTCATTTTGAGACTAACAAATATACTAATGACTAAGTATTTATTCCCAACACATCTTTGGAAACACAATCTTTTTGTTATTTAATCATACAATTTAACAATTTTTACACTGTGATGAATAAATATAGGTTATTTATTATAAGATGATTTCTATCTAATTGTTATTTATATGACCACACTTTCATGTGGTCCTATATTGTCGTTGCCCCTGTCTGTCCACAATTTGTTTGTGGACACTCTATAGGTCGCAATTTTTATCCAATTTTGACGAAGCTTGAAACATAAGTTTTTATCCTAAAGATCTTGGTTCCTTTCGATATTTGCGCATAGTGGGCTGTAACTTCTTGGATTATGGCCCCTGATTGTACAAAAAAATCACATTTTTAGCTTGTGGACCCTCTAGAGGTAATCTTATTAAAATACAGATCAATATTTTGTTTTATTTTTATTATAATTTTGATGGCCTCTACTACATAAAGATCTGACCGTTTGTAGTGGAAGGTCGCGGCAGAGGTCATACGAGCGGCTTTTGACCCTATGACGTCGGACATATTTGATTATCCAATCAGCGTTGATGTTTCTACTGGGTTACCCACAGTTCCGTGCATAGAAATATAGACTAGAATAGCAATCACGTGACTTTTGACGTCTGGTGACGCGACTGTCAGGCGCCATCTTGTAAACAATATGGCCGATCACTCGTATCCCTCCACTCAACCATCCACGAAAAACGATCTGCGTGGACCCCAGTGTTTTGCTTTTGAGTGATTTCTCCACCAAAACCCCTCGACAAAAGTACAGGGTGTTAGTTTTCACAAGTAAGTATGAACATTTTATTAGATCTAAATAGGTTAGGAAAAGCCAAATCAAAATATCGACCAAGCCTAACTATGGTAATTCTACGCTAGGCTGGCCAAGTGCAATTTTACTGTGCAATCGTTGTAATTAGTTAGATTATGTTCTAAACTCAGATTTTAAAAAAAAAAAAAATCTATACAAATTGCACTTTTCTCAATAACCATTTAAGAGGAGACCAGAGTCGTGAGGGGGTTGCACAGTGTTTATTTTGCCACTAGACATAGGTAGATTTGCTGAAAATTTCATTCAGATTGATCCACTATGAACCGAAAACTAAGCGAATGAAATTTCTGCCTAGCCTCGGTCATCATTACTAAAGTCAGTACGATAAACAGCATAGTCTCGATTATCTATTTAATCGTTTAATCGAGAAGGAAAGTTAAGTAGTAAATCGGCTCACAATCCACTTAAGATCGCAGGCTAACGAGGCCATCTAGAGTTGATTATGGTCTGGATAAGTTAATTAATGTCTAATTAATAATTTAGATAACATTTCAGGCCTAAAGAAAGACCTGCAATAGACAGATTTAGCTCTTGCATAATGTATGTTTAAGTAAAATTTTATTTTTTGTATTTTTATAAGACTAGAGGTAGGCCTAGTAGAAGTAGAACAAACTTGACACATTAATCTATGCAGTAATGACACAACCTCTTCTATTTTTATTTAATAAAGGTTTCCTTCAAAGGACGTAGATAAATCTAATTACAATTCTCGGGTCATAACTGTCACCGGCAGGAGTTGCCATCTAAGTGGTCAGTACTATGTTCCAAGCATTTTGAAGAAAAATGGCTTGATAGAACAGGACAAATTGTCAGGTTAAAAGATGGGGCCTTAAATCCACACCTGTATTATTATGTGTACACTTAAACATACATGATGCAAGAGCTAAATCTGCCTATTGCAGATTTTTCTTTAGGCCTAAAATGTTATATAAATTATAAATTAGACATTAATTATCTGATCCAGGCCATAATCAATTCTCGATGGCATCGGATTTCTCCGATATTAAATAGATTAGAATGGTTCAGCCATATTTTAATTTAATTTCAAAATGGAGGAGCGAGACATAGCTTCGAACAACCAGTACAGTGGTTTCAATTATTGTCAAACCTTCAAAGGCTAATATCTTCGCTCGCAATAGAGTAATTTGAATGAAATTTTCAAATTATTCATTAAACATGATCTAATTTCGAACTATTATAGCAAGAATAGCTAGCTCCTTATCTAAATCTTACATAATGTATCTTTAAGGAATATTTTTAATTTCAGCCGAAACCGATTTTATATAGATCTTCAAAAACATCTAATCGGTCCTTAGAATTAGAAAATGATTCAACAGAACACATTTTTCCACAAGATGCAGTCACAATTTTACAGGTTTGTAAATACCTTCATTCAAACCATTGCTGATTTATCATTTACCATAAATCAGTTCAGTGAATAAGACTCCCATGTTCAATTTTCTGACGTGGCTCCCCTTTGTCATTGGTGCAGAAGACACAGATCTTAGCAAGAGACAATAGAATCGTTCAGGTGGGACAAAGAACCAAGGTCCTGTGTACACATTTGTGTGCGCTAAAAAGACCTCTTGGCGGTTGGAATTCGATATAAAAGTAGGCTGTTGTTCTGTTGTCTGGGCAAAATTTTCCTCATAACACACTGTATGGCGTATGTCCGCTTTCATTAGCCCAGTCAAAACAGAACAGTATAACGTTAAATCCCATTTCATTTTGTTTATGATCAATGTTCACCAATTTGAAATATTCTTTTTGCTTACTTAAACATACATTATCCAAGAGCTAAATCTGCCTATTGCAGGTCTTTCTTTAGGCCGGAAATGTTATATAAACTATTAATTAGACATTTATTAACAAAACAAGACCATAATCGACTCTTGATGGCATCAGATACTCAAGATTTTAAGTAGATTAAAACGGTTCGCCATTTAAAAATTTAATTTAAAAATGGGAAAGCAAGGCTAAGTCCTGATTATACCAGTGCCCTGGTTACCACTGTGCACACATCTTGTCAAAACTACAAACAATGATAACTTGGCTGAGAATGAAGTAATTTGAATGAAATTTTCAATATTTTCTTTTTATATCATCTATTTTTGAATTATTATAGCAAGAATGACCAACTCTCTATTAAACTCTTAACTAATGTATCTTTAATCTATAGCATCAATCAAAAGCTAGTACAGTAGTTTGTAGGATTGGATGTAATCTTTTCCTTTTCTGTTTTCATGATTTTCATATTAAAATTTCCATTACCATTTAATTACTGGCATGTACTATTATTTTTCATAGGATCATAACTATATTGTGACAGTCCATCTATGTATAAAAAAAAGAACCTTAGACATGCAGGGTAGAATTGACTTACTGCAGAAACGTCTGAAGAATACCCAAGCTTGCAAAAGAAGAGCAAAACAGACTTGTCAGACCTTGATAGAGTCTTTAAAAGAACAAACCTATTTAAATACTGAACTGGAAGAGAAGCTCCAAGTTTACAATGGTACCCATACTTTAGTTGTTCTGCATATTTTCCATTACAAAAACTGATGTTGGATAAATGATAGTTTCATCAATTCCTATAATATGGTATGGACTTTTAATATGATGACCTTGTGAAATTTATAATTTTCAAAAGTTTATTTTGTAAAACAACAAATTTAATATGAATGGTACTTGTCTACATGTAAATTTTTTT